TTGAATTGTCATAATCTCCTATGCTTTCAATTTTCATTCGCTTTTTCTCTGGTTCATCACTTCCATCATCTAAATCATCATCACAACTTATTTTGATGACACTTCTTTTTACAAGAATATCTGCATCACCATGCCATACACTGCCATTCCCTGAAAAAAAACAACAGCAAACAAAATACACATTTTTTACCAAAAATGCAGATTAGTACAGATTTCTTAAAACTAAGACAGCTTAGTTACTCAGACTTCCCAAAATATTAATAAATTCTGACTAGGTCTGCCAATTCTTTATTATGAATCGGTCAGACTGTTTATATACAAGTTGCATGTATACAAAATGTCATTGCTAAAGGTTCACCGTGGGTAAGCAACTTTGGTCACGTGACCACAAAAGTCAACGTACACAGCCAAAAAAGCTCGGCTAAGGTAAGTTTTTTAGTTATTATTTTTCTATCGAGCCAATTCAAATTATACTACATAGCCTACCGACCGCAGCAATTCCGATGCTTTCTAAAAATGTATTTGATGTCGTCCAACGTTTTGTATTTTATTAGATCATTCAAACAATATTTGCAAATTGTCGATGACAACGTACACACATTTGTGTAAAAGTGTTGATAATAACTTAATAAAGGATATGCATGTCAGTGCTAAGTAAAATTTCAGGTCTTAAAATATAAAAGAGAATGTTTTAATGAAAAAATGAACTGGTTTCCTGCTGTCATTTTTTGTATTTATTTAAAGATTGACCAACTTACAAAAATGTCAACGTACACATACAGTCTAGAAAGTGTCAACGTAAACACTCCCAATTTAGTTTGATAGTGGTCTGACATGAGGCTGCTACTTCAAAATACATGTAGGTGGCTTTTTCAAACAAAAAGTTGGCTTTCAATTTAGATGCCCTTTCAAACTGTATATAATTACTATTATTTTTACAAAGGAAATAGTTTAGAGTGCATTCATTTCATCGGAAATAAGCTTAAACAACCTTTAACTTGTTATGTTATAAAAATTTATTTGTATACTTTTGTTTTTAGAAGACATATTTCCAGTTATTCAAACTGCTTAATGATTAGCTGAAACAGCCGTTTTTATATTTTAAACTGGATTAATATAGATCGTATTGCAATATAGATCGTAATAACAGTCTGCTTAATAACGTAAACAGCCAGGATAAGGGTCTCTTGCTCAACCAACTATGGCCTTCCGTAGCAGTAAAAGGGTTCAAGGTTGACTATGACGCCAAGTTACAATTTTATATTACCGGTTTTTCAGCAATAATATTTTCAAGAATATATCTACTTGCGGTTGTTATGTAAAAACATATCTTATGAACAATTCACAATTTTATAGGTTGGTAAAGGCAACAAATTACCCTTTTGTTAAATGGTAAGTTACTAGTACCATGTTTCTAGTATAATTAATGCTTTTACTGCTCAAGAAACCTGTTACTGGAAAATGGTTACAAGTAATAAATTTACCGGAAAATGGTTTCTAGTAATAAATTTACCTATCTTATTTTGTGCGCATTGTATGAGCTATAGATATGAATGAATGACATTGTTTAAACATTAAAAAAGTTATATCAAGTACCACAGTCATATGACCCACTTATAATCATAGAAATGCAACAATATATATTGAAATGTTTGTTACAATGCAGAAATTTTATCGACATTTTGCTCAAATAAAATGGTTTGCTTGAATTTAAAATTTTGATTGCAATGTAAATTATTTAAATGTATGGCAATTTTGTTGAACAAATATCAGAGACTTGTAAATAAGTAGACATGGTTGGCAAAATTTGGCATATTTGTAACAATTTTGTCATTTAAAAACCTATGATGTGCAAAAATCACGTGATACACATTAATCAATATCATTATCAAGTTGTAGGACAAGAGGCATCGCCGATACTAAATTTTGATCTAGCAGATAATGCAAATAATTCTTTAAATTTACTTAACTTGCAATATAGCAACAAAATTTAAATTCCAAAGTCAGACTATAAAGGCCTTTGAAAAAATCAACTTCTATATTAAATCAGAGAATTCTAAGAACAATTACTAATTCGATCTTAAAAAATTATTAAATTTTATTTACATGCATTTTGAGCGAGAATGCTCGCCATTTTGTTGGATTTGTCTAAAACTGTTAGGGATTTTAGGCACGTGTGTTAATTTCCGAACTAAACCTTGTGTTCAATAAAAATCTACAATGTCGATGAAATACAAGACCCTTGCGAAACGTAAGACCAGCGGTTCTAACAAAATATACAGGAAATGTCTGTGATGAAAACTGGCGGAAGAGAATAGAGCAATGGCAGCAATGGATATGTACGAACTCTCAGTCACATGGAGACAAACAGTTTGATTTGAATTTTACAATAACAGGCCTTCTGAGTACGCTGCTAGTGTAGCTATGCTGTTACGGGGGCTGCGTTCCATGAACGCCGCTTTGCCTTGTTGATCTTTGTTCTCATTTTGTATGGTCTGAACAACTGCATTCTATTATGAAGAGTGGTCAAAATGTCAATGGGATTTATAACCACCTAAATCATGATGACTAAAGTACAGATCAGAGGAGCATGTTGATGTCATATATATGCATTTGACGCATTTACCTGGACAACAATGATAAAATATCATACAAAGTCTTAATTTTGATATTAAACAATATCAAAATTATATTGCTATATATCCTTACAATGTAGATAACTAGAAATAAAAAAAATAAGCGTTTTTCTCTGATAATTTCTATACCGAGAAAAGCATCCATTTGGGGGAGGGGGCATCCATTTCGGGGAGGGGGGGGTTATTTGCCTCGCTACCAAACCTATGACTTATTCAATACTTTGCATTTATAATCATCCATTAGTGAGCAATAATCATAACTTGTCTTTTTGTGCTGATTGTGCTGATTTATGCTGATACAAACTCACATGCAAGACTTGATAAGAGTAAAGATGAAGGAATTTACATGTACACCACAGTCAGTATAGATTCAAGCTCCTTTGTTGTAAATTTATGACCCATATTATTGTATTGATATAAAATTTTTGCTTTTGTTGTAAAAAAATCCTACACGCTTTATTTTCTATATCCACTCAGAAACCGTACATGAACATCATATCTTTTATTTACGTTATGAACATATCAGGAAACAAAATAATATTACAAACTAAATACAAACTATAACCAATTCTGAAAGTAAAGATTTATTCAATCATTCAAGCAATATAAAGATTCAGCAATGTATAAACATGTCGGATATATATATAGAAATACATATCAGTAAATTAATTATATATTTGTTTGGGAAAAAACAACAAACAACAAAACAGTGTAAATTGATTAAAAAGATAAGGGTACACAGACAAAAGTGATTGTTTTCTTAAAGATACAGATAATATGAACTGATGTGTAATCTTTCTATGTCTCTTTACTTTTTCTTCATTAATAAATATTTGTGTTTAAAAAATACTAAATATTTGATATAACTATCAAATTTTGTTCAAATTTCTAAATCATTTATGAATCATGAGTGGGCATATAACGGACATATATATCCTTTGAATCTATATTACAATGATATACAGTTATACACGTTAACAAAAAGAGCAATAAAATATGTTTAAATTAAATTCCAATTAATGAGAGAAGGTTAAAAAGACAGGGGTACAAACTAATATGCTACAGTGCTGTATCACATACATATCATTACGACGTATAGTTTTCATAAGATCGTTTCTACTTATTCCTTGTCTCACACAAACGTGTCACTTAAATCAAATATATGCTTTTATATAGTATCTTGAAGATTGAGAAATTGACAATAAACTAAAATGTTCTAATAAAATTAAGAAGAAATCTCAACAAACATCATATAGAGCAAAAAAAAAAAAAAAAAATTTATTTTCTTTAAGGCCCAATTTGGGATAAAACCCTTTTTTTTTAAAAAAAAGCTAAAGTTCAGTAACTTTCACGGAAAGCGGGTAAGGATTATAGCTTAAGGTTTTCAGCTTTAAACCCTTTTAAATATACTATAAACAGGGATTTAAAAGGTTAAAGGTCTTTGAACAGCGAAACCCCGTTTATATACTAGACAGGGCCAAGTAAAGATAAAACCCCATGGGAAAACCCCCAAAAATGGGGGGCCGGGGAACTGCCCAGGGCTCGTATTTTATTCATAAAACATGCCCATGAAGAAAAAGTAAAAGCATCCCTTTGGGAAAAAAACCCTATATATAAACTGTTGATAAGCCAAGGATTGACAAATAAAAATCTTATTACGAACATAAACTACCTAATAGTTTCCGACAGGTAAAATTTTCGGCACTTGACCGCCATATTGCCAAAGTGTTTGATCACGTGATTACGAGATTGACCTTTACGAACCCATGTGCTCCAATATTTTTATAAATTACTTTTTTTAAAGATATTGAAAAAGGTGATTTACTGACTTTTATATTCAATACAATCGTATTTAAGTACTAAAAAATAAATGAAAATAAATAAAAACATTATCTTGAATAAAAGTATTGAAATCATGTCAACAAAATGTTCTAAATATAGTACACCACTCTATTCAAATCTGTTCCCGCGAATGACGTCATACGAGATCTCGCGTGGCACCTGAATGTCATGGCCAACTGTAGTCGGCGTAAATTGATATTTTACAGTTAAATAGGCAATTTTAATGACGGTATTAATATTTTGATACTTTAATTGGTATAGAATGATATTAAAATGATTGTTTTATCGTAAAATGCACAATAATTGATTGGGTCAAGTGTATTTGCAAGTAAAAAACAAGAATAAAACAACTTATGCTATTCTGGTTAGGTTTCGTAACGGGTCTAATCCAAAACTTTAATGCCGCATCAGATGAAACACAAAAATGTTAAAAAGCGGCTTATAAAGTTTTGGAAGCCGCATCAGATGAAACACAAAAATGTTAAAAAGCGGCTTATAAAGTTTTGGAAGCCAGAACTAGTAGGATTATGTTTAATTCCTTGTACGGCGTTATAAATTCTTATTTCCTCGTATTGGTGTCACTTATTTTCTTAGCTGCTCATAATCGGTAGTGAAGACATCTGGATGTCTAGGTTGAATTACTGCTTTTCCTCCACTTTGGGTGTAATCGGGACATTTAGGAGGATCCGCACATGTTGTAGACACGGTACTGAAATATTGAAGTAAATGTAAGAAACTTTTCATGCCTAAAGATTTGGAGAATTTTGTGCCTGACAATGTTGTAAATTATATTTTCGCTATGAATTTGGATTAACCCATTACTCTATGTCAATTATAAATATATACACTGAATGTTAATACAGTCATAACAGCAAGCGGATAAAGCAACGTTTTTTCGTGGACAAAAATCAGAGTGTCAAACATCTTTATCAAAACTGCACAAAAGATACTTATTAAAATAAATTCTATTCTCTTACAAAATCAATTCAAATGTTCAAAGGAAAACATTTAAACTTACAAAAGTTTTGAAGAAGAATATAGAAAAATAAAACAACAAAGGAAATCAAACGAACCGCTTTTTATTTTTGTATGTCCAAATGGCAAATACCACTACACAGGCAACTACCAATATCCCTGACACTGATACAGACACTGCTATAATACCAAGCTTGTTACTTCCATCGCCGTTTCCCTGGTTGCTGGTTGGAGGTATGCAGTCTTATACAGCACAAAAAAGACTTACATTAATATGGACATATATATTCATGTACACGTTAAACATGAGTATCTTGGAGATCTTTACATTAACATTATATTTTTATATTTTAATACCAATGACATGGTTAATAATTCTTAATAACATGGAATGAATTGATTCTTACACTGTCAAGTAAAATATGCTTAGTTGCAAAAGTAAAGAAAGTGTGCACTGGTTACATATATAGATCTATATACATGTCCGTGTTTGGGTAAAACGTGGCAAATGGTATTAACATTTGTAGAAATGTATCGACAAAACAATGGTTTACTTTATATCATCAGCCGTTTTGTTTCGTATAAATAACGTCCGGGTAAATAGTAAAAGTTTCGGAATTGTATTTTTAACGCTAATAAGTATCTGTTGAGTCCATCTCGCATATTGGTCGATGACAGTGTTCGAAACTGCATTGACTAGACGTAACTTTCATATAGAGTATGATTTCATACTCACTTTGATGTTCCATTCAAAATATTCAAAATTCTAGTATCTAAAGGCAAAATCGCATTTACAATGTTTACATCGCGGCGGCAATACAATTGAATCGTTCCACACTTGTTTCGCATTTGATATTGATTTATGTCATGAAAAATCAAAAAATGAAATCAAAGTAAACGACAATTATAGACTTATCTTTGCAAATAGTAGTTACATTATACCTTGCTGATCCGTCCACTGATAGCTAGAATCTGATGGACAACAAACGAGATTGGGATCAAGAAGACTTCGGTCACCGTCCCTGTAACACTGGCTATCTATATAACATGCGTCTCTCTGTAATAAAATGGTGTTTAATGTTCAATGACATACAGATTATTAAAATTCAATTGAAACAAACAACAACAACAACAACAATCCATGACTTTCTTTCTTAAATGTTATAAATAAAGATTTAATCATCTATCAATTTTTGTGGTACTTTTATTACATTTGAAAAGCTTGAATTACAGTATGATTTTATTAATAAATATTCTCTAATTTCATTCGATTACTGTAGGATCTAAAGGTGTTAAATTAATTATTTGATCCCTTCTTTCAAACTGAAAAGCAAGTCGCCTGTTGGCATCACGACGAATGACTGACATGTTGAATCAAAGACAAGAACATGTCTACTTGGCCCGTAGTGTATCCCATCGTTGCTAATAGATACAGAGTATCTAACAGTAAACGTATTACATGTGACATCTCTTTTCTTTCTCCTTTTCTCTACAGCCGAGGGACAACAGTATCCGTCGAATACGCTCTCATATTCCCCGTTACGGTCGTGTTTATCAGAATAGATAATTGTTCCGTTTACATCAAGCTGTAAAATAAAGGAAAATGATTAACATAAAAAACCGAACAGTTAACCGAATGAGTATTCAATTTGTTCAGTTAAAATTTAACAGCACTATCGAAGATGTTTTATATACATAGAAGACCAGAAGCGTGCATATAATATGACAATAACGCCCTCGCTTATTCTCTAACTGTTCATGCATGTGCTTCTAGTCCATCCCTGAATCCTAGCTACCGGAATTTTCAGCTGGTAATTTGCACAATCAACAAACATATTATGGAGTTCTTTTATGCAATGCAATTGTACTTACAGAAAAAGTTAATTTGCTGACATGTTTTACAGTAGATTGGAAATGCCTATGGCCCATCCACAGACGTGTTAGAATTAATATATTTTCTTTTGTTTCGAGAAAACAAAGTGCACGGTATAGTAATATGAACATTTATTTCTTCAAAAATGTCCTTTTTAAAAAACATAAAAAGACCCGTATATTTAATCGATTTTGAAAACTCGCTCAGTAGTAATAGTGCAATATCTAAAACCAAATGATGCAACTGAACCCACTAATGTTTGTTTTTTATGACATTGAATATTACAAAAGAAAAGTAACCTGTTTATAGGCATTTACTGCTTAAATTAACATGATATTCAGGCTATTGTGAAAGTCTAGCTAATATAATTATGACAATCTAGTATTAATGTTATTTGTCGATTTTATCAGTGTTTAACATCAGAGGCGTTCATACGGCAGAACAAGATTCTTAAATGTACATTATATCACGCTTCACACTATTCTCATATTAAACAGATAGGGCTTACAAGTGCATTAATGAACAGTATAAAAAGACCGCTTTCACGTCATTCGAATTAATACATAACGTCAATAAACCAAAACGATATCAGGAAAATGACTTCTACGCTCAATGAAGTTAAACATATTTCTAATAGTTCTCTTTTCTATCAACATGTTAGAATGAAATTGATATTAATTTTCCTTACATTATAGCATCATAATGCACGGTTAACCGTTTTAATTCTTTATAATTAATCATTCAAGCCTATAAACCTTCATGATTATAGTCCTGCACATTTAAACACGAACCGTGCATTATTCTGCAACAATGCATCAAAATTGCTATCCATTTCTTAAACATACATCGACCGTATCAATCCTGCACTTGAACCCTTTCAAGAGGTTCTCGGTGTGAAACTGAAGACAATCATGACAATCATCTCCGTCGGCAAGATCGCATTCACCTCCACCTTCTATATCGGTTAGTACTAAAAGTGCTGATTTCTTTACAAAACAAGAATCGCCAACGTAATCGTCGTTGCATACACATGTTCCTGAAATATAGAAATAACATCTGTATTTGAGTCTTACCTTTGTCGTCTTAAACAAATATATTCTCATATTGTTTGAAATTTGGACAACAAATTACATTGAAGTTTGCTGGTACTTCAATATTACTTACAGAACTAAGAAATAAGGAATCGTTAGGTAAATCACACATGCATATCAACATTATATTGAAGTAACTGATTAATTGAACATATCGTTAATTGAACATATCGATCATTGAATCATAAAAGCAACATACCATTGATACAGTTCCCATTACCGTTAGATTGCGATGGACATGTGACACTGATAAAATTTCTGACAACCTCTGACTTGTCTTTTCTGAACGTTCCGTTACGACTGATTTCATGAGCCACAACACTAACCCAACTGTTATAACTTTCTTCCTTCCAGAAATCTCGACCATCAACCTTTATAATTATCATAAAAATATAAACAGCTTGTCTTTTTAAAGATTTAAAAAAAATACTTTAACCGTCTGTTAAGTGTGTACTATAAACTGCGTATGAATTTAACAACTCTCTGTCTAATGCCACAAGCAATCTCGATTTATAACCCAAACGAGGTAAAAAAGCTGTATTTATTTTGATCATCAATGCTTATCATAAAAATGTGAGATTTTCTTTCATTTGTGACACAAATTTAAAAAAAGAAGATATTTTACATTTGCAATGATATGCCGTAAAAATTATTCAGGGGTTGAGCTTAAATGTGAATAGAAATATTTACAGTCACATTATCATGTAAAATAATAATTTGTACAATGAAAAGTATTAAGCATAATATATTTAAGCAGACATTTAATTTAAATATTTAAATATAAGAAATCACAAACCATCATATCATTCACACATGCTGATAAAGAGCCATTCAAGGATATTTCAGGTAAATCATTTATCATGTTTTTGTTTTAGGCTTTTGATTTGAAAACGTCAAGCACTCTTTGTAAACCTTTTTTTTCTTTTTGGTGGGAAAAAAATTAAAAAATTTGTATACTCCCGTTTAAACAGTTAATAAAAAATTTTCAATAGAAAAACCAAAATAAGTCCAAAATTTTATGATTTATTAAAAGACTATGTATGGACATAAATTCCCCAAAAAAGAAATTTAATAATTTCTTAAAGGTTTTTAAAAAACAATCCCGTTACCCAAAATTTTTGCTTCTGTTTATTGCTGTTTCTAAAAATTCCCACTCTTCTTTTAGATGCACCCATTATGTTCTCGTTTAATGAACATTCATAATTATATGAGTATTATCTGCTTTTCATTTTGTTAGGAAAATTTTCTGACGACCAAAAGCAAATTCAGTGAAAAACAAGCCTAAAGACTTTCCTGTTTTTGTGTTGTTTACAGATGGTAACTTTTCCAACTTTCACTGTTTGGTCACACAATCTATGCTTTAATCAATAGTGTTTGGAAACTAGAACCAAGTATTGCATCGTAATACGCAATGAAATTTAACGAAAAGTGAATATTTTTAAGGATGGAAATATAATAGCAAATAGCATTATAATTTGTTATTGAGTCCGTTAATATTTATGGTCAAGATATAATATTCACCTTGCGGGCACAGCTATTTGAATTCTCACTTAATAATGAGAGAGCGAGCAACCTTTTGATATTTCTTCTATGCCTTTTAATAGATCTCTTGTTTCTTATCGTGCAAGTTTTCTTCTCTCCTTGAAGTTGAATGTTATCTGTACATGTTGCATACCGCTGTGAAAAACAATATGCCCTAGAGTCTTTTTGACTATTCGGTAATGCTGACATTGTTACGTTTGGAACAGCCCTTGGACAAATACAAACGTTATGATCGTACGTCCATGTTGGTGGAAGATTGTAACGCACCGTGTTAATCAAGCTGTGTTGCAACCTGCAAAAATGTTTATATTTTTTTGTACCGATTTATTGTCTACAGTATAAATAACAATTTGACTGCAAATATGTATACACATTTTCGTACTCACTTTAATTTTTATATAGTTGAACAATTTGAATTCAATATTGTTATTGTCAACTCAGTACTAGATAGTATGTGATAACAAAGTAGACCTATAATGATCATCAATTGCCTATTGTAATAAGTTTATATACGAGAACATGAATACATCTTAACATTTGTCAAAAGTGAACGGCAGTAGAAGTGAAGAGAACTTACTCCCATGTCTTGATATATGCATTGTTAACATTTTCATCATTTTTTTCCGTTGAGATTTCCACACAAGCCTTCAGTATTCATGACATCAGATGGAGAGGGAAATATGTAGACTCGAAGAAAATCTGACGTGCTGTAATGTCCCCTATTAATTTGAACTTTAGTACCAGTTGGAATGTAAATCTAAAGTTAAAAACTAAATGCATACTAAATATGATTTGAATAAAAAAAATCCAGTGGTATTCACTTTTATGATTTGTTAGAACATTCGGATTCTCTCACCGAATAATTATAATTATTACGGATTTAAAACCGATTGAAAATAGTTCTACCAAGTGATATTTGATGTAAATAAAAGAGGGTGTTATCTTTGTATAATAGTGACGAATGTATATTGTTTTATTTATTTGACATCTGAAGAAAATAATTCATTTCGGTAATATATAAAATCTGAAAACGTGATCATTTTAAAACTACACATAAACACAATGTTAACCTAAAATCCGAAATAATAAAAAAGCGGGTACATTTTTGCATTGAAATCTGTAATTCTGAAAGAATACTTAATTTTTTTATAAGTAATATAGTTTTTATTTTTATTTCTATTCAATGTACTCAATTTTAGTCGAATATTATACAAAATAATGTCTACAAATCCAAGCATTTACAAACTTTTTTAGCATTTGTTTGAATGGTTTAATTTTGTAGCCTAGGTTAGGGATAAATATCGTATCTGTTCTATGTATTCATATTATTGTTTTTGGGGACCTTATACAAAATGTGACTGAAAGGGCCAAGAAGTTGATTGACAGGCGTAATGCGATCTATATAAACAAGGCAATAGCTCCCAAAAGCAGCATATCTTGTTAAAAGAAATATATATGTATACTTTGCATACACATTTGAATCTGACAACATTTGTACAGAGAATCAATGATGGAATATTAAAACATTCATTTAAAATTGGGACAAAAATGTTTTACGCAAGCTTAAATGGCTGCGAAATAAAGGTGTAATCTGTGCTCTGCATTTCTTGAAAAAGACCGGATAAAATGCTACTTAGACGAATGTCTGTTTAGAACTGTGCAGATGTGAATATTGAAGTTAAAAGGGGAGTGATACGACACGGAAAATTCATAACGTCCCTACTGGTACTCTTTTTATACTATAACAGGACTAATGCCGTAGGGAAAGCTAACTAATAATTGTGCCCAAAATTTGACACCACGAGGCTTATTGATATAAAGACAGTGCTGGCATTCTTGTATTGGTTCAATGTAATGCCTTTGATATTTATTATGCATTCCCGAATAAACTAAACGTAAACATTTCACTTAGCACTCCGCTCACTGTTGTACAGCGTTCACCGGAAATAGCACATCAAAATATCGAAAACGAAAGGAAAAAGGTATACGTCGAGTTCACCCGTGGTAATGTTTCAAATATTTCTCCGTCGTAACTTAATCGATTTTTTCAAAACTAAACAATTTCTTGAAGCTTAATATGTCTGGGTTTAGAGCAATTTGTTGAACGATGTTGATATATTCCACTGAAACAAGCCCAAAACGCATATTCTGTATCAAAATCCGTCTTGAATACAAAATATAGACTTACATGTACTTTGCTTTATTATGTGTAACGGTAGTCTTATGTCTTGAAAATGTTATGCTGACTTGTGTTAACATTGTTTAATTATTTCAAACAGTAGTGTCATCATGTCAAAAATTTTGTTTTTGCTCGTCTAGAATGTGTCAAATTATGGCAATTAGTCGCGCTATTTTGTCAAATTGTGGGGCTGATGTGTCAAAAGACTATCTGATCATTTGAAACCGTATGGTTCTCTTGTCGAAATTTGGTGTTGACTTGTCAAAGCACTGATTTATTTGATCAAAGTGCTATGTTATTTTGTCAAAATACTGTGTTTAAATGCCTAACCATTGTCTTACTTTGTCAAACAGAAGTGTTAACTAGCCAACGTAGACTATTGAATTATTGTCTTATTATGTCAAATGTTCGCACTAACTTGCCAAAATGGGGTGTTGACTGGACTAAATCATGCCTTATTATGATGAACTGTATGCTATTTTTGTCAAAATGCGGTTTTGACTTGTTAAAACTTAGTCTTATAATGTAATAAAATCGCAGTATCTTGTTGAAATGTGGTAATGACTTGTCTAAACTCTCTCTTATTATGTACAAAAAGAAGGTCTATCTTGTCAAAATTTGGTGATTCCGTGTCTTATTATGCCTGATAGTTGTGTTATAGTATCTAAACTTGAGAAAGCGCTGTCTGATTTTCTTTAAAAGCGGTGTTAACTTGTCTAAATCATGTCTTAGTGTGTAACTTCCGTGTTAATTGTGTAAACTCGGTTTTGACTTAAGAATACACTGTCTTATTATGTGAAATAACCATGGTATTTTTTCGACATGAAAGGCAGGCTTTTCAATGTACTATGTGAACATGTTAACAAATCAACTCTTGAAAACAAAACTCTTGAATGCTCTTTATTTTATTAATTTTATTGAACATCAAATTTCACTCTCTGATATATGCGGGCTCTGGTCACGTGATACTAAATTTGGACATCTGGACATGATAACACGATTATCTGACATAATGTTGGTACATGTCAAGATGTGTTTCAAAATCAGCACTTTTGTCTGACAATTTAGCACCAAATTTGTACAAGATGCATGACATTTTGATTAAATGAACTAGTGTTAGGCAAATTAACGACGAATTGGGTAAAATACCATGACAATTTGATAAAATATGAGGATTTGTAGCCTACCACTATCGTGTTTTGACAATAAAGCATAATAAGACACGGTATTTAGACAAGTTAACGTAATATATTTGCAAGTCAACGCCACTGTATTACATAAAGATAAAGTGTTTAGTCTACACACCGAACCTTGACAAAATGAAATGACGCTTTGACAAAATAAATGTTATTTAGACAAAATATGGCAAACATGATCAACAAGGAAAGGTGGCGTTCAATGAACGCAACCCCCACACGACGCAGCAACAAGGACCAACGCCAGGAGCCCAGGAGGAGCTCAAACAAAAATCATCACCACGTTTATTATTATTATCTTTTAGAATTCAAACAAACATGTTATAAGACTGCAGCTGTAGATATATGGCTTTAAACACTTTGAATGAAACAATGACAGAGATTTTTAAGAGATATAAAAAAAAGATGGAATACCTCATAAGTGTCGCTAGCTATCTCTCTAACATTCAGTACATTTCCTCGGCAATGGATAAATGATGCTCGTTTAACTTTGTTACATACATGTATATCGAAAGCAAACACGTCACCGCCAGCTTGAATTGCAACCGCGCATGTACATGACGCTGTGTGATCTGCATCACACTTTTGAGTTTTTATTTGGACTTCTGTAAGATGAATTTTGTCTCTGTACATTAGGTAATGCGCAAATGAATCAATATATTCATATGGCCCATCAAATGTACTTAATGTAGGATCGTTTACAACGGAACATTGTCTTCTTTTCCATTCAAGATTTCGACTTCCTCCGAGGTAAATTACCTTGAATAAAAATCAAGTTTAGTATAATTACAATTAATATACAATATGTTTATGTGGAAAACATATGAAATGTACATGTTGTTTATTTTTTTGTTGTAAATAACGCGCTCGTATGAAACACCTGCAAGAATTTATGTAAATACGAATATAGAAAAACATATAAGCCAATTACTACTCAATGACGAACTCCCGTTAAAATAAAAAATAAATATAAGTCAGTCAAAATATATTGGATTGTCATTAAAATCATACTGACTTGCAGTTTGATTATATATTATTTTTTTCTTTCTTTATTAGTTTATTACAGTCTCATCAATTTACACAGTTAAAATTCATATAAAATACAATATAAATGCACATTGCCAATCTATAAGATTAACAAGATACTAAAGGTTGACTTACTATTTGCATGTAAAATTCTAAAAATCTAAAATCTAAAATACCCTTGCTTATTTAAACCAGAGTTGTGAACATATGATAAAATGAATCTACTGCAGTAAATTAAAATTCTGCAGTAGCAAAGTACCTCCAAAAATTCTATATAGAATTTATATTGTGGTTAAATTTAATCAAAATCCGGTTTAGAAGATTATTAGCAAAGGTATTTTCCAGATAGTACATGTATATCTAAGATGTATATTCCAACAAAAATATATTAAAGGTTTCCAACCGATATCTCCACAGACAGCTGCATTTGGAGTATATCTTCAAACGTTCAAAAAGTAGCGTGCAGCTCTATTCTGCACAGCATTAATACAAGAAAATGTATCACAGCCCCAAACAGACGATGCATGTGTGATTATTGGTACAATAGTAGCTTCATACATTTTTGTATATGCTTCAAAAGGAATACCTCCAAAAACTCTAGTTTTAGCAATTAAAATTCCTAATGCTCTATGAGCAGCCTGAGCAACAGATTTAGCTGTAATAAAGAATAATCAAGGTGATCGATCAAAACAAGACCGAGATTTTTGTACTGTGTAACATAGTTTAAACTTGTATCTCCTATTTTAAAGAAATAATCTGAACAAGTTAAAGATGCATTTCTAAAGTGAAGAATGTTAGATTTTAGTGGGTTAACATTCATATGGTTTGTAATACACCAATTATGAAGAACATTTAACATACTTTGAAGATCACTTTCACTTTCTGCTATAAGTACAATATCATCGGCATATAACAGGATTGGTACGTTTTCACCATCAATATCAACCCCCCTTGCCTGTGGCTTTCAATTTCAAGGCCAGATCATTAATATACAGGTTGAATAGTAAAGGTGACAAGAAACAACCCTGTTTAAGTCCGCTGTTCACATAAATCCAATCAGTGTTAAAATTGTTCAGTTTAACAGAGTAGAGTACAAGGTGATAAACCGACTTTACAGCATTTATAAGTTGATTGTGAAAACCAAGTTTAGACAATTTAATGTATAAAAGCTCTCTATTTATTGAATCAAATGCCTTTTTAAAGTCTATAAAGGCACAGAAAGTTGACAGACGTTGTTTCTTTGTAGTATCAATAATACTTGTTAAAGATTGCATGTGATCAACTGTACTTCGACCTGGTCTAAACCCATTCTGACCTTCAGAAATTATATCTTTTTCAAAACACCATACATTAAAACTTTTATTTAATATTAATGTACAATATATCTTATATATAACTGGTGTTATTGCTATACCACGTTAAGACAAATGATCTTTTGGATCACTAGTAGTTGACTTAGGAATCGGTTTAATAAAAGTTAAGTTCCATATCTGTGGCAAAAATCCTGATTTAAAACATTTGTTAAATAATTTATGCAAGTAAGAGATTACAAATTCATTTTTCAATACTTCACCAGGCAGTTCATCAACACCAACAGGTCTGTTTCGTTTAATGTCAAGTACAGCTAATTTGACTTCTTGTTCGGTAAAATCTTGTATAAAAACACTATCAATATCAGGATTGATTGACAAGTTAACATCAACATTTTCACTATCAACAATTATATCATTACCTGAATTGTACAAATTACAAAAATCATTTTTCCATTTATCAAAAACGACATCTTTTTTTGTCGATAGTACACCATTATTATCAAAAACTTCCATAGGGATATCACTTATTCTGTTATCCCTTATCCCAACTCTATCAATAGACTTCCAAAATCAGGAGAGTTATCTTGAGCAAGTGATAATAATTCATTTTGTACACTTAACTAGTGAGACCTTTTATATATTATAATATAAAAAAACATAAGATTGTACCCAAAATAGTGCTATGGATATTTTGTGTTAACTAAAAGCAATATGTGTTTGAAGCTATGTACATTCATATGAAATATTAATTGGATGTTTAGGGTACATGTATTCCAAAGATATATTTAGATACGAATTGAGTATTAAAGATAATTTTACTCAAAAACCTATATTATAATCCGTTTATCTCAGTTGGTAGAGCGTTGGACTGTGAGTTGGGCAAACCGAGTCCATATTAAGGACGGTTGCAGAGTGTACAGAATAAACCTCATAATGTCAAGTTATACTGACGGGTAACAACAAGAATGTTAGAGTAATAGAATATTGATCTAAAATGTCTCAGTCTATGATTAAAAACATTTAGCTTATTGAAACTTAAATGAATGCTGACCATTGTCAAACTTGGGCGTAAGGCAGCGATCTGTTTCAGTTTTGAAAAAAAAATAGACAAGAAAATATTAAATGTTTAAGAATTTCAAAAAGCAAATGTTTGACCCTATGACACAATTTTTATTTGTTCAATTTCAAGCAGAGTTTACCTCTTGAGCTTCAAGAAATAGTCCAAAGAAAAACAATTTAGTATTTTTCTCACCAAAAGAACACAGTAAAACAGTAAATGTTGCCTTTTCTGCTTGCTGACAATTATTACCTTTGTTGACGTAATATTTGAGTACAGAATAAGCAAGCAATTTACCATGTATATTTTACGATCTGTTAGGCAATTTTGATTATGTAGCACTATGCTTTGGCTAAGTAATGTACTTGTTACTTGTAAAAAAGAATACTTTATACCGTTACATGGTCTATACTGGCATTTTCCCAAAATTGGTGTGGAGCTATATTTGCTGTTTTTAATTGTAGAGTAAACGTCTTGTCCTCGGGATATTGAAGTCGATCATTTGACACTGTTATAGTTATCGAGAAGGTTGGTAGACTTTGAGTTATTCTATTGTAGTTGCAGTCGTTAACATTATGTTGATGTACACAAGAATGAGTAGTTGTATTCCGCCATCCAGTTAGTCTACTTCCGCACAGTTTTTGGTTATTTAATGATGTCACAGCGGTCTCCTTACACTGAAAATAACATTCCGTTAACAAGTCATCTACTCGGTATTATTATTGGCTGGTGTCTGTAAACAAGTATAAGACGAACATATGAAAGGCAGGAAAACTAATTGTCAATTGTCGTATTAACAAAATTAAACCCTTAAAAATCCCCAAAACAGTGCCTTGATGACCTCAGTTCCAACGCAAGAAATTGATATATTTTTCCTATGTATAAATAGGTCATTGTGTAACATCTGGGTTGTGCTTATTCTTAACCTTAGGGCTAAGATTGAAGTAACTTTAACTATAGCGCTGTTAAACATATTTGTTTATAAATAGAATAATAAAAATATGTAAATATGGCACCAAAACGGAGCTTTATTAATCCTTAAGCCATAATTCTGTTTCCTATATATGCCTATGTAACTAACCAAAGGGTTATTGTATATTTCGCAAAATACCTGAACTTTATCCCGAGTTCAGGTCAATGGCTACAAACCACTTGCCCCTCATCGATATGGGTTTGAATCTTACCAAGGAAATCGGATTTTATGTCACGAGAGGAAGCTATCCAGCTCGGTAACGAACGTCCAGGTGCCAGTCGTGACGTTCCACTAGCAAAGCTGGCATGTCACCATGTAACATATACAGAGATTTGATGTGTCGGAAAAGCCATCCAAAAGAAGCAACAAAAAACAACATCAACATCAACAACAAGAAAAATATGCATGAAGAGGACATTTATTAAAGCTAATATGCTTTTTTATGCTCTAGACTGGGGCTAAAAGAACAAAAAGTATTTAAATTGTTAAGGCGTATTATTAAATAAAAAAAATTTAAAAAATAAAACTATACCTATACTTGAATTCGATAAAAAAAAATAAAATTCACACTTTTCCCTGTATCACGAAAAAAGCAATGGCTTCGGCACCCAAAGGGGGAATAGGGTTTGTAGTAAAATATGTCCTGCGACCCATTTTTAACCTAATTTGGGGTTTAAAAGTCCTAAATGATTAGGAGAAGACCAATATTCAAACAATATGTAAACCTTTTAGCTTCTGAAAAACCTGAAAAAGTTAGTTATATATATGATGTAGGTTTTTTGTGCTCAAGTTTTGTTATGCATTCAGATTTTTTGTTTCATTCTGTAGTCTCCTCTTATCAAGTTACATTAAAATTGGATGTTGGAAATTATCAACACACCTGAACAGCGTTCGGCATAACAATGTTAATTAAAAACACAAATTCGTTTACTGTTTTACTGATGTATAACAAAGAAGATACAAACAGATTTATAATTCTGAAAACAATATTAGTAACATTTAGAAATATATTAACATGTTAAGACATTAAAGAAATTAAAATTTAAATGTGAGTATCATTTATGTACAAAATATAATCTTAAAGGACTATTTGAACTTTAACCCTTTACCTCATATATACGCGAAACAACGCACTTTCGACCCCCCCCCCCTACTTTAGGCAACAAATAGTGAAAAAAATGTCCTATTTGGGCCCCAAACACATGTTTTCGTTTGAGAAATGTTGCCAAGAAAGTGAGCACTTTTTTTTGTTTGGGGGGGGGGGTTGAAGGGGGCGGTAGTCCCCCTCATCGCCAAAACAATTTGGACTTGTGAGAGGCTAAAAATGATAACGTGTACCCAACGCTGAAAAGCCTTTGACTCTATCTCAATCCCTTGAGAAGCTGCAGCACTTTGAAATAAATTTTGATGGAAACAAGGCAAAATAGTGATTTTTGGCAATTTTGAGATGTCCCCTCGTTGCCATGGTAACAGGAAATTTAAGACTGAGCATGTCGTTGCAAAGGCAATGGTCCAGTCAACATTTCCGCATGTTTGATTAGTATTAAAGCATTTTTTATAGTTTCATAGCAGTTTGAACTTGTAACAGGAGGCTTTTTAATGAAAACGGCCATTTTTCACAACATGCTCATGAGGGAAAGGGTTAAAGTACTTTATGTAATTATTTTACTGTTTTGCGATCTATAGCCTTTTAAAGAGTATTGTGATTGCAAGTTTCTGACCGTTCATAAATAACTTGCATATATGATATGTTTATTTCGCATGAATGTGTAAAACAGTTACATTGGTTCAACAGAAAGTGTTTTCCATATATACATATTCTGAGTATGATATATTTTATTACATAAAATGACATTGATGAAAACAGCTGAGGAAACTAAAACACCATGGGTTACTTTAAGTTGTTACCAGATAACTTAAAACTAGTGCTTATTGTTTAGTCATGAATAAAGCAATATTGATCAAATATGAATGTTAATTTATCTTATATATAATAACTATTTTAACATATCAACGAAATATATTTCACCTTTACACCAGCATAGAATGTATCACTCATTTGTGGATCTGTCTGATTACCGGTAGGTGTACTTGATACTCTTACTGCACATTGGATCTGATAATTTATGAAAAACAAATGATTTGGTTAATTCAATTAATACATTACTAAACACAAATTTATATACAAATATTCGTTACATACAATGTTTTTCAGTAATAATTGGTAAGTGACGATAAAATAAATCTTTAACGCAATATATAAACATATCGGACAAAATAAAGACAACATTTTGTCAATCGGCAATAATTGAGACTAAAATCTGCCTACAACAGGAGTAGCAATAACCTTAAATGGTACATGTACTATTATAAGGTGAATTGTGATCGCGATCAGGTATCAAAGCTGCATCATAAAAAATGTATTTAATTAACGATATTTTTTATTTGAAACAAGTAACATGTTATATATTTATTTCAGAAGAAGCGAAAGTTATTTCTGATTTTAACATTTTATCTATCGAAAGAACCGGTAGTATTGGTGCTGAAACAAGGAAAGAAAAGTCTAAAAAATTGGTAACGCCGGCTTAATTAGTCTAGAGGGCGAAACATTCGATCGATTAGAAAAACATTTTATATCATATATATTTCTAAATTTATAACATGTATTTAAGTCATGAAGCAACAAAACGATTATTCAACTAATCTTAATACCGGTCGTTGTGGTTTAAAAAGAAAAGTTTGTTTTTAGGTCTAAATCACGACTCATGTACATATTTTAAGCATTCCGTACGCATTTAATTTGCTTTTTATTTTAGAAATTGGTATTTTTGATTACAATGTATCGGACTATCTAAATAATTTGATCCACCTGATCTCCCCTCTCAAATAATACTTACAGTAATTCCAAACTTGAATCCTAATGTTCGAAGAGTTGTCTCGTTAAGGTTTGTAGCATCTGCATCATTTTTTTTACTGGCGCAAATGTCTCTTCTCTATTCGCCCGTTTATAACCCTTGAAAATTACAAAAAAGGTTCGTTGCAGAAATAACTTGATAGCGTTTATCAAAAGGTACAGCAGCAAAAATGTATTAATAACAAATTTCAACACATAAAGTATTTAAACGAAGCGTACCAACTAAAATATGCCACGGATATCCTATAAATTCCATGTTCCTGTCGTCAGATATATTTTATCAATGAAAATGCAAAAATTACATAAATGTATCGATATCTTTGTTGTTTGTTTTGTTTGGTTTTAACAATTATTTCTTCTACGTCTTTTACATTGAATTTTCTTTATTTTCGAATATCAGTGTCCTGAACATTTCAGCAGTCCTATCGTATTTTTGCTGTTAAAACTTACATAATTATCTATCTACATTTAGTCTCAAATTTTATGACTATCACAAAATTAAACATTGTCCAGCAAGATTACTGGTATGAGAACAATGTTGGTTTGGTTTATAAATATATGTATTTATTTTGATTTCTTGTGTCAATGTTATAATCCTATCATTATTAAATTCTATCACCTTTAGTAATTTTGGACATTATATAATTGTTATGCCCCCGCAATGATGATGGCAAGGGGTATATAGTGTGCCCCCGCCCCTGTCCACCAGTCTTTGCGAATCTGTGTGCGTGCGTGTATTCGAAAAAAACTTTTCAGGCATATAACTCTAATTAGCTTTGGCACAAATGTTACTTTTCAACTTTTATCCTCCATTTACAAACTAAAACTGGAAAATTTGTGATCTATCACTAAGCTTTTTAAATATCTCGAAAATGTCCTTTACTGTTAAAGGTCTTTTACTGCGGCAGAAAAAAATTATGAATTACCAATAAAGCTGTCCTGTTTAACATCTTTATTCATATCATTTGGTGTCAGATCATATATAGCGGGAAAATCCGTGTATTTCGGGCATATTTCCAGTTTCTCTATTTTTATATTAAAATAGAAATAAAGTTATGTCTTTACCAGCTAACTCCATAGTAATATAATTCGCTTGCCCATCCGAATTACATTTAAAATCAAGTTCGGGTTCTTGAAGTGAGATTTGTATGTCTGTACATCAGTGCCACGCTAACTTTTATATACTACCAGATATCTTGTAATTTGGTGCAGGAGCTACAACTAAAACATATATCAGTATTAACAAATTGTATGGGTCTGGGCATCGCTTAAAGGAACTTAAAGTCAAATATCAATAAATATGGATTGCTATATATGACTAAAACAATAAGATTGCTAGATATTTGAATACTGATTAAATAAAACAACTCCGTTTCTTAATATTAACTTATAAAACTTTTTATTTAATGTTATATTTTTATATTTGATCATTCTGATAAGTAAATATTTACTCACCTGTCATAGAAAGAAGGTTCTGTGAAAATATAATGTAATGCATATGATGATAAGCTGCTAAAAACGTTTAATTAAATTATTTGTTAAAAGTTCGCTACATTAACAGAAGATGTATTTTGTTTTTATTACTGCATGTAACACAAAATTTCTGGATGCTGAATGCTAAAGGAATCAATGAAAGAAGATTTTATGTAACAGATTTTCTTTTCAATTTCAGTATTAATAACAACAGGCTTTGACATATAAATAAGTTCGTCGACAAATGTTTACAAATGTTGTCAAATTATTTGCAAATAATCCCATACCGAAACAGTATGCGCTTGTCCCATCAGTTGGAATTAGATAATACTGAATTTCTCGTCCGCATTTACGAACTTTGATATCATAACGATATTTACAACTGCTGTCAAAGTCTACTAGGCATGCAATGAGAGGATATTCTTTGCCCTCTTCCAGCTTTCCAAGCTTGTCTATATTAATAGAGATAAAAATATGAAGACATTTTTAGAAGACAGTAAATAGTGCTAATTGTGTTAAACAGTATTTGCAAGCGCACGAACTTTTTTCTTTTATACTTCACCATTCTTCATTTTAAAATCAATTAAAATGATCAGGTTTTTACATTCATGTAGTATATTTAATTATCAGACAAAATAAATAGATAAGGTGTTTGCAAAAAGATAACATTTTGCTTAGACTATAAAATGCTGATACAGTACCTTTGATATATATCGGATTATATGTCCCACAATGCGCATACTCTGGTGCTGTTCCGTTAACCAGCGTGTAGAATCGACACTGTCCTTAGCAATGTACCATCCTGCTGGTACTGTAGAGTCAGATATGGTAGGCTCAGCAGATGATTTTATAATATACGAAGGCCCTCTTCTACTGACATCTATGAGCTCACCAACCTGTCCTCTACAGGAAGTAGCAGAAGAATATTCGCAGAAACCTGAAAAAAGCAGAATCAAAAGTAAAATTCTTTTGATGTATTATCAAAACTAGTTTTTAAAAAAGAACAGTTTTTAAACATACTTAATTTTCAACAAAGCTTTAACAGATTTTGTAGTATTTGATATTATTCAAATTAATGTTGTGCGTTTCCTGTTCTACTGTCTGTTTAAAACTAGTTTGAATGTGCAAATATGTTTACTTATGCATCAATCCACATGATATCTCACACGCTGACGTCATTGACAGTTTGTTTAAGTATAACACAAGTTAAATGTTAATGTTGCTTATAAAAGACGCCTGGGGTTAAAACAATTACCAAAATCCACCTAGTCTACAGTGTCAAGAAATACAAATGTTTGTACACTAAATTTAAAATTTTCAATTCAACACTTTTTATTTAATTATTTTTAAAATGCAAGTTTACACTTATCCGTGTTTGTTGTAAAACATGTTCTACAATGATTCCTAAATATAAGGAGGCATCACTCGATTGAAAATGCATTACGGTAAGTAAATGAATTACGCTGATTATAACCTAATTTCTGTTGATATTGATAATAGCCGAATATATTCCACTCGGTAATTTCCTGCTTTAGAATTTAGACTGGCTCATTGGCACGTTATTTTATTGGTAAATAATAAAAAAAAATGAAACTAAAAAGAATGTTATATTTAAACATGGAAGTATCACTTTTGTTAAACGTTTATTTAATTCCTTGACGCTCGGGGACATGTTGATCATCAAAAAAGCTATTTTTACCCGAAAATCTGAAAACTGTGTAATTTTGTTAGAACAAAAAAAAAAAAAAAAAAAAAACTAGACTAAACTTTTCCCCATTGCTGACTGAACGAATGCATATCTGCTAGGCTAATAAGGTATTTTCCTTAAGTGTACTTCACATATCATAATACCATGCGTAATTAAACGTTTTACTGACCTTTTACATTACATCTATTTTCCCTTCAAATTTTGGGCGCGTATCTCTATGCGCTGTATTATTAATCCAGTATTAAAAATAGCTTTGTTTATCTTGACAAAATATTTTTCTGTCACATAACAAGGTGTAATTCTGTACTTATGGTGTATAAAGCGCTGAATAAATAAATTATCAGCAGCATGTATCTGATCTAATTCTGTTATCTCAAAATAAAATATACACACTTGATCAACAAGGAAAAAGTCTTTAGAAATAAGAAATTCAACTCTGTTGTTCAAATTACATTTAAAACGATATTAATTAACAAATGATAATTTGTAGGTAATTTACTACCTATTGAAATATATATTATGCCTGTCCTAGTATCTGTATTTATTGTTTTTATTTCTATTATTACTCTTCATATATCTATTTTTTTCATTTTGTGATACTTGAAGGAGCTGTTGAAAATATGAAATTTTTATACTTTAATGTATTGTTTTGAAAATATTAATTCGTTAAATACAGAGTTTATAATAAAAATAATAATAATAATAATAATAATAATAAAAATAACATTAATAATAATAATAAAAAATAATAATAATAATAATAATAATAATAATAATAATAAAAATAATATTATTACTGCTACTGCTGCTGCTGCTGCTGCTACTTCTTCTACTACTACTACTACTACTACTGCAACTCTTATTCCTACTCCTACAACTTTTAAAAGCAAATTTAATAACAACATTTCATAGCACATATTATTTGTTATAGATCTATATACTTAATGACACATACTGAATGAACAAATATTTTGATCGTATGTATTCAAATATATATTCTCAAAACTAACAGTGATCCTACAAAATATCAAGATCCAATATGTGTTATGAATGGCGAGATCAAAAATATTTTTAAATTTCTGCAGAAAATAAATGCTTTGCTCAATTGACAAAAGTATCAATTTAAGCTAATTGGAAAAAAATAAAAGAATGCTTACCTAATAAAAGTAATATCGTGGCCTCAAAAAGCAACATTGTTGTTTGACTTCAGAGCGTTCTTATAATTTTGAAAAGAAAATTGTCATGGTTGTGATAAACCGTTTTTTTATAACACTTCTAAACTATCGTATTATTAATATATGTTCAAAGCTGAATCTACTCTTTTTTTTAAGAATGCTTTATAAAAGGATGTGGGGACTGTCCTTTTTATATGCTTTGAATAGCATTTATCAATTACGGGAGAACCCCTATCAGATAACAAAGTAAGGGAACTTCTTGGTTAATGATACAAGCATTCCTTATTAGATGTGCATCGACAAAGTTATGCTTTAAATTGTTTGCATAGTACTTAATAAATTATATGAACGCCATAGCAATAAAGACGTGCGTATGTAATGAAAGTGCGTGGCACTACGGGATTTTATTCGAACAAAGTAAAAATTAATTTGAACCGCGCAATCATTTAAAGGACACATTTTGTAAGGAGAGGGTTTTCATTTCACATACACTATATCAAAGATGACATTTCATTTAAGTTCTTCTTTTAAACGATGTATATGAAGAGCTGTCTTAGTCACCTTTGTTCGCGTCAAAATTAATTTCGAAGTTTTTGTACTACAATAAGTTATCAGGGAATGAATAAACAATAAAAAACTAAGAAGTATCTTTTAAAGAAGAAATACTGTACTGAAGTAAATCTGGTTAACATGCATATGTTAGTTCTTAGCTTTCCATGCAAAATCATATAAAAATGTTAGCATAGCTTGCATAACAATGACATAATAATTTCTTGAAGGGTTATTAATCTTGAAAGAATGACACACTTTAAGATGTATGTGTTTCTAAACGGCCTGCCGTGTTTCAGTAAGTGAACTCAATTTTTAAAACCAACATCTACGCAGCCGGTAAGCAATCTTTTTTTTATAAATACTTGATTAATATGCAAAAATGTATGAAAATTATAGACATAATGACAAATAACACATCGATAATCATATAATATATAAGACACTTATTGAACATTGTCAACTAAAGGTACCTTATAAGTTCTGATATTATTCTCGTTATTTCGGACAAAAGTTAAAACTCAGATCTTGTGTAAAATAAACTGTTCACTAGAAAATGTAACAAGATCTGAATGCAACAAGTATTTTTAAACATAACTTAAATATCTGGACAATTTAACTAGAAAGTTAAAGAATAATCTATACATTTTATTTTAGAACTATCCTTTACATTTTATTTTATAATGGCAAGAACTATCCTTTACATTATAGTTTAGAACTACCTTAGAATAACAATAACTATCTTTTACATTTTATTTAAGAATGGCCTATGAGATTCTCAGACTTCATTTTGTAATTCTAAAATCACTGTAAACTCTTCTTATATTCCGTTCGTCCTTGAACAGGAAGTGAAACTGATTTTAGACCGCATTAAACCGGATAAAGATGTTTATTCTTAGTCATCGCCTTCATCACATTTGACAATGTTCATACTTCTGTCACCATCGTATATGAAAATGTTAATACTTCTGTCACCTATATTTTATTATTAATCTTCCATTTTAACAAATTTTCCTTTAAAGGTTTTACCCTATCTTGAAACCTTTTAATTGACAATGTTTGTTTTAGAAAGTTCAGATTTGTTAAATTCATTTCTTTAGCAATATCATGTATGATGTCTCTAGCAATATTCATTTCTTTAGCAATATCATGTATGATGTCTCTACAAAAATAACGACAACGATCACGTATACAATCTTCTTTACACTGAACGAACGTTTGGCAATACATGATTTACGGACTTTTTTGGTACCCCATATCTTATTGTTACACTTTCGTGTTGGTTTTAAACATTTAAACAGACATTCGTCACCTATAACTATCAGAAAAACATACTTATTATAATTTGAAAATTTTGTTGCACAGTTTCTACAGTCATTCTGCAGTCTTTCTTGTAGAGATGGGGAACCCGATAAGTGGTTATTCTTCTAGCTGCCGAGAGATGTTTGAGAATAGTTTGAAGACCGTTTTGAAATGAATGAATGAATGAATGAATGAGTCAGTCAGTCAGTCATATAGACACGCATATAAATCTATATGTATCCACGCAAAAATAATCATTAGTTTCTGAGCATTTAGTAATTGTCAATATTAAAAAGTGATGTTTTGTCTTTTATATTGGTTTATACAAATTTAATTTAGTTCGATTGTGTTGGAAGCTATAAGCTTATTGAAACACTCTCGAATCCGTTCCTGGAACCAACCAGTACTAAGCAATGAATGTAAAGTTTCTTGCTCAAGGAAACAACTTTTAGTTATTTACCTGTATCATGTGTATACAAATACTATCTTGTTGTACACGAAATATATGTAGCTAAGGGAGACAAAACTGCAGTGCACAAAATACTCCTGTTTAATGGTCTGGAGAGTTGTCAACCTAAGTCCTGTAAATCTTTTTAGAATACATGTATTTTATGATTGTATTTTGCATTTTTGATTATATGCTTACATGTATAGATGAGACTTGAACAAACCATGGAAGTTACAATAACAGATTTTGTGGATATTGAACGATTAAAACAAGTCTGAGACATTCATTTGATATGTTCTTTAACGTTTCCATAATTCACTGTGGGAATTATGTGATGGTCAAGTTAGGAAACTACCATTTCCTTCTTCATAAGGAGAAAAGTTTTGTTCCTATGTCTGCCTAGTTTTTTTTATCTTGAGGACATTTACAGAAAGATGAATGAAAAAATCAAAACGAAGAAATGAAAATTTTGCCTGTGTCTCCCTTTAAGTATTATATTATTATTAATATTATTTTAATTATTACGTTTTTCTCTTACTATTTTAATTAAATTGACAACCGGAGAAATCTCTTCAAATTTGATATTCTTATCACTCACATTGCGTTGTGTGAATATAGTTTTCAATTAGCAATGATTATAAATATAAAACAAATAACAGTACTGATTTCTGCTTGAGCCAGTGCTTTGGTGTGATGTCGGTAGCTTGCATTTGACACTGACAGGTATTTTCCATAATCGAAAAGGATACATGAGATATGTCTGCGATGAAACATGTCGAAAGAGTATGCGGCAATAGCAACAATGGCATCAATGGATATCGCATGGAGACAAATATTTAAAATGAAATGTTCATATTGTCTTTATAACAGGTCTTCCGAGTACACTGCTAGGATGTACCTGTCGGATGCTGCATTCTATAAACGTCGCACTGCCTTGTTGATATTTTTTATGTTTGGAATGGAAACGTTCATAATATTAATTCAATTTGTACATAAACCTAAATCATAATGTCTAACGGTCAGAGAAGCTTGTTAAATTGTCATATATGTGCATTTGACGCATTTACCTGGACACCAATGGTAGAAATGTTTTATAAAGTGTTCCTTTTAATAGCCAGTACGAGTTTGCTGTATATCCATACAAGGTAGATGAATAAAAATGAAATATTAGCATTTTGCTCTGATAGTTTCTAAAAAGGACATTGGTCATCATCCTTATTTCTTTTCATATGTGTCATACTTGTCTAGAATAGCACGTATTTACAATTGTGCCTCGGGACCAAAGCTATGATTCATTCAATATTTTGCATTTACCAACGCGCGTATTTTTTAGTACAGAAACTTTTAGCTTGTATTTTGTGTTGGTTACTCTTGATACAAATTCACATGCAAGACTAGATAAGAGTAGGGAGGGATTCATTCAAATTTGCTGAAGTGTATAAAATATACATGTACAACTTAATAATTAGATGTGTAAGTTCCTTTGTTGCAAGCTAAAAACTCCTATCAATGCAATTATGTAGAATTGTTGCTTTTGTTGTTAAAAATCCCACAAAAAATGCTTCATTTCCGAAAAAAACTCTGAAACCACACAACAATATCCTATCTTTTTTTACATTGTGAATATATCGGGAACTAAAATAATATATCAAACTAAATGCAAACTAAAACCAATTCTGAAAGTAAAGATTTATTCAGTCATTCCAGCAATATAAGGTATAAGCAATGTATAGCCTTGATTGACATATATAGAAAGACACGCAGAAAATAAGTCATATATAATATTTAAAAAAAAGATGATTAAAACGTTAAAGGTAAACATATAATATAACTAATGTGTAATCTTTTTTTGTCTCTATATTTTTCTTCATAGCTAAAACTTGCTGATTTTACTAATAATTTAAATTTTGTTTCAGTTTCTAAACTTTTTATGAATCATGACTGGGCAGATAACTCATATAACCTAATGAATAAATATTATGAAAATATACTGTTATGAAAACAAAAAGAGTAATAAAATATGGTTAAATAAAAACGCCAATTATTAAGAGAAGGAAAGGTAGATAGAGAGACATAACGATGCTACAGTGCTGTATCACACACATATCATAACGTATAGTTTACTAAAGAATATCTCTACGAATTCAAAAGTGTCACTTAAATCAAAGATATGCTTTTAGAAACATGGAAAATACAAAAATGATCTTTAAATAAAGCGTTTTACGAAGTAATAAACAAAAATAGAGCTTCATATATTCTTTTAATTAGAGACTTAATATACCCTTATTTTATAAAGTAAGGATTAGTTATAACTCATATGAAATGATTAACACCATCATTATAGCAGTTCAGTTCACGGTAGGATAAAGAATGCATTATACGTTAAATTCCCTATTCTGTGTTCTGTTCGTATTTCCTCGTATTAGTGTCATATTTTCTTTGCTGACTATAATCGGTAGTGAAAACGTCTATATGTCCAGGTTGAAATGTTGCTTTTCCCCCGCTTTGGAATTTCTTATTGTAAGGTTGGTTGCTGAAGTCCAACTCGGTATAATCAGGATACTTTGGAGGTTTCTCACCTGTTGTAGACACAGTCCTGCAATATTGACACTAATACTTTTAACGATTTTAACGATTTTATCTACTGAAATTTCTGTAAATAACTTTCTTCTCTATGACTTTGTTACTTTTGTGGAAATTCTCTTAACCTTTTACCCCATGAGCATATTGTGAAAAATGGCCGTTTTCATTGAAAAGCCTCCTGTTACATGTTCTAACTGCTATATAACTATATAAAATGCTTCAATACAGATGAAACTTGATGAAACATACGTTGACTGAACGATAACCTCTGTAAAAACATGCTCAATCTTAAATTTCCTGTTACCATCGCAACGGGGGACGTCTCAAAATTGCCAAAAATCACTATTTTGCATTTTTTCAGCGTTGGTTACACGTCACCTTAAGATCGACCTGAGCCCATTTTTAGTCTGTCACATGTCCAAAATTTTCTTGGCGATGAGGGGGACTACCGCCCCCTTCAAATCCCCCAAACAGAAGGTGGCATATCCCCCTTCTGGCAACCCCCTGATGTATCATTTTGATGGGGGGCCGCGCCGAAAAAAAGAGTCATTTTTTAACAACATTTCTCAAACGAAAAACAGTGTTAAGGGGCTTCACTGTTTGAGGCCTCAAAAAAGGGGGTGGGCAAAAAGCCGTCAAAAGATGCTTATATCAGGGAAAAGGTTAAAAAAGCGCATGCAGAAATCAGTACACGGTCTTGACAGGGTACTTACATTGATCTAGTTAAACCATTAAATTCAGCAAATGATTACTGGACTGAACATGAGACTAAAAGAGTATCATGTTTATGCGTATTAACCAAAAATGATAGTCCCAGACATCTTATAGACTTCCTTCGTGTAAAATGCATATACAAATATTCATTAAAATGGTTATAAGCAACACCAAAAAATATTTGATACAGTATCACTAGTACAATAATAAGTAGACGAAGTTGACATTGAAATAATATGTTTAATGTATTGTTTTTCCTTGTAAGCTTTGTTAAATTTGAAACGTATTGCAATATTATGTTAATATATACAACTTGCCAAAGAACGACTAAAACTGTCAGTGCCTTTGTTTGTCAAAGAAAAAAAAAACATGTATATTATTTTGTATTGCATAAACCGTCTTATCCTCAAAAATGTGCATGGACACAGGTGTTGGGCTGAAGAATTCAGGCTTGAGTAGAATGTAAACAGGCGTCGATAGTACAAACAAAGTGACTAAAGATTACTATGTACACAATCTATAGAATTATTAAAAAACGCCACACTCAGCAAAGGCTTGAAATTAATGTACAAAGCTAACACTAATTGTTTATAACTTGCAATTAATAAAATATCAACATAATTTTTATTTAACTTGATAGTTTTGAAAACAACTCAGGACGAATTACGCATCAACGAATCCTGCTGCGAACATATACAAAATACTACAGATGAATAAGTTCAATGAAATATATTTTAGATACATATTTGAGAAAAGAGCAAATTAAACGAACCGTTTTTTAGTTTTGTAGGTCCAAATGGCAAATACCACTACACAGGCAACAATCAATATCCCTGACACTGATACAGACACTGCTACAAGTTCAAACTTGCTACTTTCACCGCCTTTTTCCTGATTGCTGGTTGGTGGTATACAATCTTATATCGCACAAAAAGATTTCATTCGTTAGGGAATACTTTCTCAAATATACGGCATGTTTAGCTTTAAAGAATCTCCACTAAGTTCAAATGTGCTTAATGGCAATTTTGATAATCTTACAATAAGAAATTAAGGCACTTAAAATGAAAAACTTGTCAAAGAATTACTAAGAATTATACTCGGAATTAAATTGAAAATCGATATCTTAGCGATTCTCTGCCGAAAGTTCGTGAAAAGCGTTGCACAATAAAATTGTTTATTGAATGTGTGCACGCAAGTTATTGATCAAGAATTCATTCAACTGGTACATAAAAATCTAGAAGAAAAGATGTTTCAAATTCCACCATGTCAAAACATCTCAGTGTAGTCCATATAAAAGCCTGGGCTTCTTTAAATATAATATTTTATGTAAAATTGTTTACCAATTTGTTATTTCATATTATGAGGCTATTACCCATTCTTGAGTACAATACTGAATTCTATAGGAACAGTATACAGCTGTTCAACCTATATAAGACGTGTCGCCATCCGGGTCTGGTAGAGCTTTTGCAGCAGTGTAAGAGTCCAATATAATCAGTACTGTATTATTCTCAACAATGTATAATGTCCTTTTCATTTTACACAATCAATTTTTGATACATTGAGAAAAGTGTGTTAATAAGTAATCTTAAGATTTAAAATATTTTTTTGACTCTGAAAATGAAAACGAGCCAAGATGGCGTATGATATGTATATGATACAGATATTGTCGACTCTGAAACTGAAGAAAATGTGTGATAAAATCAACGTTGAATGTTTATTGCTTTTATTTTGTATGGTGTGTAATAATTATAATTTATATACAACGACGTTAGAATAACAATTAATGCAACAAACTTTGTTTGAAAATAGCACTGCTCTTGTTTTACATTTACTTCTCAAGAACTATTGGCTAATTTCACGAAAAAATAATATACCTTGCCGATTTGTCCACTGGTAGCTGGTAACAAATGGGCAGCATATAAAAAATGGACTCATTAGACTTCGGTCGCCGTCCCTGTAACACTGACCTTTTATATAGCATGTTCCTGCCTATAAACAGAGAGTTTTAAGTATCTTATGATATTAACAATTTTCTTTTTTTAAGACATACATGACTCCGAAAGGCATTTTCAATCTAAATGTTTAATCTTCTTTCAAACTTTTATTATATTGTTCGTGAAAATTGCTAACTACAGTATGGTATTAGGCCTATCTATTTTCCCTGCAAATTTAAATTGCTTTGACTAATGTAAGTTCAATAGGAAATAATAACATTTTAACAGAAATAGTATTTAATTTACGACCCCTACCTTCAAACTAAATAGCAAGTCGCCCGTTGGCATCACGACGTATGATTGACATGTCGAATCAAAGACATGAACAGTTCTACTTGGCCCGTAGTGTATTCCATCGTTGCTAATAGATACAGAGTATCTAACAGTAAACGTATTAGATTTGACATCTCTTTTCTTTCTCCTTTTCTCTACAGCCGAGGGACAACAGTATCCATCGAACACGCTCTCATATTCTCCACTATGATCGTGTTTTTCAGAGTAGGTAACAGTTCCGTTAACATCAAGCTGTACAATTTATATAATACATGATTAAAATCAACATAAAAGAAAATGATTTTTTACATTTAAATAATCATAATTGAAATTAGTCCGTTGACTGTTGATCAATAATTTAATCTTGAATGAGCTTTAATCAAAATTAAATATCAATTTATCTATATATATTCAGATTATTTTTGACATTTATGACACAGGACTATTTCATATTTCAATTTCCATGCAGAGTCACATAAAAAGACAAATTTTGATTCTTATCGTTGGTAACCAGTTAGAGACTATAAGCAGTAAGTGTTTAATTAAACACAGAACCTAGAAACAGGGCCCTCGTGCTTTCAAGTGTCAAGAAAATTTAACATCATAAATTAGATAGAAAGATAACGAAATTTCAAAACCCCCTTCCGATTTAATCGACCGGTTTTGGTACAATTTTTAATTATTTGAACATTTTGCTACTTAAACTCTGTAAACAAATTGAATTACAACAAAATTACATGAAAATTGCAGACTCGGTTTGATTGTGTCTGTACATGAGGGATAATGAATAATTGCAACATCCCTCATTCCGAGTTTATCTATTTACGACAATATGGTAATAAGATTAATTGGTTTCATTGATGTTTAATACGGAACACATTATTTAAAATGGGTGGACATAATTCTTTAATGTAAGGCATACATCAACTGTTTCAATCCTGCACTTGAACCCTTTCAAGAGGTTCTCGGTGTGAAACTGAAGACAATCATGACAATCATCTCCGTCAGCAAGATCGCATTCACCTCCACCTTCTATATCGGTAAGTTCTAAAGGCGCGGATTTATTTACAAAACAAGAATCGCCAACGTAATCGTCTTTACATACACATGTTCCTGAAACATAATGACTCGCTGGTTTGCTTCTAACATGTGATATATATCACTACATGTCTATATCTGAAGAGTTTTTTGACCGATGATATTCAAAAAGATAAACACACATACATATTTTATAAAACAGTGCAAATTTCCAGACGTAAGAGATTGTCATTAAAAGATTATTTGCTCTTAAATTCCACAACATACCATTTATGCAGTTCCCATTACCGTTACATTGCGATGGACAAGTAACACTTTTGAATTTACCGACCACCTCGGATTTCTCTTTTCTGAATGTTCCGTTTCGGCCTATTTCTTGAGTAACAACACTGACCCAATTGTTGTAACTTTCCTCTTTCCAGAAATCTTGACCGTCAACCTGTGTAATAAACTACATATATCTTAATGCATTCATGAGATAAAAATTCACATGTATACAACAATTGTAGTAAATTTTTCCCGGTGACACATTCTCAATACATAGAAGTTAATTTATTTGTGATATCAATTTAAACAAGAGCCGGTTGAACCGGGTGGTGCTCCTCCCTTCAGAAAAGTGTACCTTATGTAGTTTCAAAGTTATCTCCCGGACAAGGTGTTTAAAGTGCAATTATTCAAAACTTAGCCTGATAGTGACTGTTCTTCGCACTGCACTTCCACTCCATGAGATCTATCTACCGATTTAGTTTCTTGTTGATACCTCTTGTAGTTTCATATTTATATCCCAGACAAAGTTCAAAGTGAAAAGATAAACAAAGGGCAATCATTCAAAATTTGGCAAGGAAAAAAAGTCATTGTTCCTTTTCACTGCGTATCTTTCAAATAATATCCATCTACCTACAAAGTTTCTTGTACATATCTCTTATAGTGTAAAAGTTATGTCCCAACCAAATTTTAAGGTGTATCAATAAACAAAGGGCAATAACTCTTAAATAAGACAAGTCAGAGTAACGGTTCTTGTGCACTGAATATTTACTTAATAAGATCTATCTTCCCTACAAAGTTTCAAGTTGATACCTCTTGTTGTTTCAGAGTTATATCCCGGACAAGAATAGCGGACAAACAAACAATGCTGCGGGCAGCATAAAAAGAGACAATTTTACAAAATAATGAAAAGATGTGATTGCATCATAAACAAAAATACATTTGTACATGTAAAATGAAACAGTAAAAATTAATATAAAAAACCTACTTGTGTATAAGCATAAAAGGAAATAAGTTTCACAATTTAAATTTACAATTTAAAGAAATCATTAGTACAAAGAATTGATAAAAATATGAAAGCATACAATACATTATTAGTAAAATATGATAAACAAGATCAACAAGGAAAGGCGGCGTTCAATGAACGCAACCCCCACATGACCAAGCAACAAGAACCAATGGCAGTAAGACTTTAGAATGTGTAACATATCTATACAAGAAATCACAAACCATCATATCATTGACACATGCTGATAACGAGTCATTCAATGCTATGTTAGGTAAATCACTTATCATGTTGTATGTAGGTTTTGATTTGAATACATCCAGACACTCCCTGTATGCTTGTTCTTCAGTGAGATGTGAGTTCGTAGTACTCTATACAAATCATAACAGTGTTAACAATAGAAAGTACATAGCTCATTTTATATGATTTAATATATGCATTTAAAAAAATCATAGGTATTATCAAAATCAAACATTGAATGTTGCTATTCACTCCAAAGATAGATTTCCTGCTATAAAAAGGTTGTCAGCTACATGCAAGGTTATAACATCAAGGCCCTCTTAACATTTATTTGTATAAGATCCATTCAGTAAAGAAGCACATTTATTACCATAGTCGAGTACTATGCATTCATTCAAGAAATGACACTATGTGCAAAAATTTGTTTCAATGGCCAGATTACAACACCTACAACACCTTTGTTGATTAATATATTAATAATCATGTTGCATTAAATTCCTCACAGATCGGGTAAATGGTACATGGGCAATTGTTGGAATTTACCACTTTCGTCAATGAAAATCCAAACAAACCTAAAAATTTTGTTGTGTTTTATTCCTGAGTTTTGAAAACTAAACAAATATAAACACTCTACTCACTGATAATATAACGATAACTTTCAGATGTACCCGCTGAAAGTTAAAAACGATTTCGTAAATGATTATGATGAAAAATAAAACTTGATTTAAAATTGTACTCACCTTGCGAACACGGCTTTTTGAATTCTCACTTAATAATGACAGGGCAAGCAACCTCTCAATATTTCTTCGATGTCTTTCAATAGATCTCTTATTTATTATTGTGCAAGATTTCTTTTCTCCTGTAAGTTGAATGTTTTCTGTACATGTAGCATACTGCTGAGAGAAGCAAATTGCTCTAGAATCTTTCTGACCATTCTGTGTTGCTGACGATGTTTCATTTGGACATAAGCAAACGTTATGATCGTACGTCCAAGTTGGTGGAAGATTTGGGGGCACTTTGTTTATCAAACTGTCTTGTAACCTACAAAATGTATATACTTTTTCGTACCTACTTATTTTTAATATTTTTGTAATGAAAGACGTTGATTTACTTTGTTAAAGCTCGTAGTAAAAATGAGCGTACTTTTTAACAATTGCGCAAATAAACGTCTAAAAATATTTTAAATAATTGTCTCTGACTCATGCTAAACTTTTAATCAAATAAAACTGTTTTATTGAGGTAGAAATAAAATTTGTTTAAACACATGTTTTGTTGGCCAGTTTTGGTAAGCATAACATATTAGTATTTGTATTAATATATTAACCGAGTTTGACCGTTAAATTACAGAATTCCCTTGGGGAGACTTACTGCCATTTTCTAACATATGCACTGTTAACGATTTCGTCTGGTATCCCGTTAAGATTTCCACACAACCCTTCAGTATTCCTGACATCAGAGGGAGATGGATATATATTAACGTTAAGAAAATTTGACCTGCTCCAACGCTTCATATGTATTTGAATCTTTGTACCAGTTGGAAGGTATATCTAAAATAAGAAACAGCATTAAATATCGAATGTGTTTTATGTGGAATGTGTAAAGTATTATTTACTAGTAATATAGTTTGACTTGATTTATTTGAGAATACAGGGAGAATGAGATCAATGTGAACCGAGGGGACATTTTTCAAAAATGGCAGGCTCGGGTTCCAAATGTTTCAACATAGCATACACGATTAAATCTGACCACTTTAGAATAAGGAATAATTGATCGCAAATAAAATTAATTTTCCTACAGCAGATCCATTGAGAAACCTTAGCAAAAAATAAAAGTGAATATGATTTGTATTTTTTTATCATACTACCTATACATCAACCGGAAAGGATACAATTTGACAAGTCCGGAAAATGTTCGAATTAAGTATGACATACCTCATAAGTGTTGCTATTTATCTCTCTAACGTTAAGCACATTTCCCCGGCAATGGACGAATGATGCTCGTTTAACTTTGTTACATATATTGATTACGAACACATCGCCGCCCGCTTGAATTGCAACCGCACATGTACATGACGCTGATCTATCTGCATCACATGTACGAGATTCTATTTGGACTTCTGTATGATATGTTTTGTCTTTGTACAGTAAAAAATGTGCAAATGATTTAATATAATACCGGAACCCTCTATCAAATGTATTTAAGATAGGGTCATTTATAAGAGAACATTTGTTGTTTCTCCATTCAAGATTTTCACTCCCACCTGTGTAAATTACCTGAAAGGAAAATAAATTTTGAAATCAGAATAATTTGATAATACCCGTTATATTCACTGTACGTGAAAAATAATATTAAATTTAGTTTGATGATTTTTTTTGTAATTTATGCATGGCCTAAAATATAATATTATAGCAACATGAAGGTCAAATATAGTGTGAGCACTATATAAATATAAACTATTACTCAAATAAAATATCTTTCAGACACAAAATGACTAAGAAAGATGATTGTTCTGATATCTATTACATGGTTATTTTGGTTTTTTTAATTCAAAAACGTTGTTACAATTACATCAAGTGTATCTGTATAAGAAACAATATTGGTAACAATATTTGTACAAACTAAAAAAATACTCAATTGTATACATGCTTTAAAATAACCAATGATAGAAAATATTACACTCTGCGGTCAGCAACGTATTCTACACATGTGATCAGAGCAGACCTATGCCGTTTGATCATAGCATTGTTCACTTCTGTCATCACTTATTGTTTTAAACATACCTCTAAAATGATGAATATGAATTGTTTTGTTCAGAATGAAAGATGCACAAGTATATTTCACATATTAAACGTTGTAAGAGCAATAAGATATTACTTTTTTAATGTCCCAAATATAACGAAATTTCTGTACTGTCATTCCGCACAACTCACAGTTTCAATCCGTTAAGTGTAACACCCTTTTTGTTTGGAAATGTAGCCCTTTCTGACACATTGTTGGTTCAACGTTTTGCTGTTTTTGTTTTTATTTAATATTAAGATGACATTATAAATGTGTTCAAAAGGAGCAATAAGATAATTTTAAAGATATCTATTGAAACGCCTGCATGACCACGATTACATACTCTTACACATTATGATGACCAATTGCCTCAATCAGTATTTAGAAGGACAGAGTATTGTAATAACATGAAGCTCAGCAAGTATCCAGGCTACAATTATGAAAAATTTAGCAACCTACATTAATTTAAAAAAGCTTAAAAGCTAGTGTTTCACTGATATTTAACTCTTTATGTCGGGCAAACAATAAGAAACACCATCAGGCCAGGGTGTCTTGGGGAAAGGGACTTTGGCCTCTTAGTCATCCTCCTGTCGATCCGTGCCTGATTTCATTACATTGGCTGTTTCGCCCAGGTACATGTAGACAAAATTATTTTAGTTATATATACTAGTTTTTAAGCTTTTTTTAAAATTAATGTAGGTTGCTAAATTCTTCATAATTACACATAATCCAAGGAATACCGAATTTTTCGCAGTAATGCAAGAAAATCTACCAATTTTACAAAATGATGAAATAATGAAGGAAATATTGAAAGAAGCCACATTATTAAAAGTAAAAGACAACCGGCTAATCTGAAAAAAAAACTTTTGACCAGGGCACGATTTTCTTCAACATTGAGAAAGAATAAAATAATAAGATGCAGCAGTTTAAAATGTGGCCTGTGCAAACACTTGATAGAAGGAAATACATACCATTTCAAGAATGGCCGCAAATTAAAAGTAAAATTCTCAGGATCATGCGACATATAAAATGTAATTTATGCATTGAAATGTAATGGTTGTTCCAAAGATTACATTGGAGAAACTTCAAATTTAAGAATTCGAGTAACATTACACGGCCAACATATACGAAATCCAAACAATGCATTATTACCAGTCAGTCGACACATTGTCATGTGCGCAAGAGACATCACTCCAAAGTTAAATATAATGCCAATCTATAAAATGCGAGAACCAGACACATTCAAAAGAAGAATGAAAGAAACTGTATTAATAAACGTTTTTAAACCAGAATTGAATTCAAAATAACTTTGATATATATATAACAATAATATTAAAGCTTATTATTATGTCCCTTTAAAATGTTATAAGAGTAACGTCCCTTTACACTGTTTTGAAGTCGTCACCAAGCGACGTTATTAACGTCATTATCTTGAAGATCCTTTAACGGGTGAAACCGCTTGATATTTCTCATCAATTATTATTACAGTTTTGTTAATAAACAATTGCCATGTAAAATGGAAAAAGCATCGCTTCATTCTTTTCCCCCGCTATTTTTGTCCGTATTGTTTTAATTTTTACATTTTATATATATAAACATGACAAACGTCAACCTTTCTGTGTAAATGATTCATACATGTTAGTATAACTGATATCATGACCTAAATTGAAATAAAATATAAGAAGCAAAGGTCAAACAGTGTATTAAAACATAAATAGAGCTTGGTCAAATGTTTAAAACTATATACATGCGCTCAGAACTTGTATTTCATTTTCGTATAAAGTCTCCCTTTGTGGTTATTTCTTGATTTCGGCATGGATTATTATTTAAATAAAAATGTTATGTTGTATGGTTTAATTATTTTTCTTGTCCGTCTGTTTTTCCCTATTTAATTTATTCTTCGTGTCAAGAAAGTTTATTTCGTTACCGGGTGATCTGCGAAATGTTTCCGTTTTCATTCCTTTGAAATCATTATCAGTCCTTTGCCATATTTCAAATGGAGGCAAGCAAATATATTCAATTACAGAGAAACAGACAAACAGAGTGTGGAAGCATTTTCCCGTAATTTCTTATTGTGAGAGTGAACAAAATGCTTCATACCGTTACATGGTCCACAGTGGCGTTTTCCCAAAATTGGTGTGGACCGATATCTGCAGTTTTCAACTGTACGGTAAATGTTTTGTCTTTGGGATACTGAAGTCGATCATTTGACACTGTTATATCCATCGAGAAGGTTGGTAATCTTTGTTTAATTCTATTGTAGCTGCAGTAGTTAACATTGTGTTGATGTATACAAACATGAGTACTTGTATTCCGCCACCCAGTCAGTGTACTGCCGCATAATTTCTGGTTATCGAGGGCTGTCACAATGGTATCCTTACACTGAAAATGACATTCATTTACAACGAATTTATCTATCGTTACTGGCTGGTAAATGTAGAATAGAAAATTGCGCTTCATCAAAGCATTGACTTTTTATCTTTATTATGAATACACACTTATGATTGCCTGCTTTGCTAGTATATACATAATTAAATAATGTTATCATCGAATACACACATCTTAAATAAAACAATTGGACTGTAAGTTGTTAGAGACAAAAACATTATAAACAAATCATCCCTTCGGGATCATTGATTCCAGCACTATTAAGTGTTGAGAATTGAGTACCACTCAAGGCGGTGCTAGGGGCGTGAGGGATGTTGCACTTTTTCATTATCTTTCATGTACAGATTCAATAAAATCGAGTCTGCAATTCTTATGTAATTTTGTTGTGATTCATGCTTCCGAGGGATCACTTTGTTTCCAGAACTTTATAATGGCATTTATGTTATAACCTGGTACTTTGAATTCGGATCAAACATTTCAATATCAATGGCACACGGTTCCTGGCGATCACTTGGGAAAGCATCTGCACGTCGACATCCAAGAGGGATCGTTGGTTGTAGTGAAATACGACCTCGTGATCCACTGGACAATTTTATTTGAGGCGTAAGAACCTAAAATTGTAAGAAACGGAAAAAGAAAATTGTGACACAAATATTGTTAGTATAGCTTTGTCATGAAATGCATGTTTGAACTTAAAAAGTATTGTGTTTTTGCGATCTATTGTCTAATCTGCGGCAATATTTTGTTTGAATATTGCAGGTTTCAAATACTTTTAAGAAATGATTTATGTGTAATTCTTACTAGAACTTCAAAAGAACTGATAACTCCATGAAAAAGTATTTTTGTATGCAACCACATTTTGAATATAATGAATTGTTCTAACAATCAATTTCAGTGACACAAAAACTGTGCTGCTAAGAATCCCCTTTCATCACATTGATTTTTAACTCTATAACCTTAAATACTTGTACATGTTTAATCATGACGACTGTAACTCAAACGTAACAAATATCACCTTTATACCAGCGTAGAAAGTATCGCTCATTTGTGGGACTGTTTGATTTCCGGTAGTTGTACTTGCTACTCTAACTGCACATTGGAGCTGACATGTAAAACAACAATACTATGATCTTTGCCATATAAAGTTAAATTTAATAATGAAAGATTAAACTTGAATTCAATACTTATTTTTTTTAATTTTAGACAACTGTTGTCTTTTTCATCTATTATGAGAAAAAAGATGAAGACCAATTTATAATTGAAAATCAAAGATGCAAGTCCCCTTGAAATCAAATATGCCACTTTAATTATATCGCTATTAAATTGAGCTTTAGGCCTGAATAGATAAAAGGTAGAACAAAAACATTGAGACATGCGCTTTGTGGAAAAATAAAAATTTATCATGCTGAATATTTTGAAATAATACCAGAGACTATAGTTTTGGTATATATTTGTAAACAAGCTTGTACTTTTTCACACTATGTGTAAGTCAGTTTCAATTGATTTTTTATTCTATATCATACAAATAAATTGTAATACCTTAAGAGTTGCAAAGCCAATTATTATAAACTATTGTCATGTGGAAGGTAGGTGATGCCCATGTATGCCTGACATAAAGAGAGGCAATTGAGGTCTTCCTTATCCAGAAAAATATGAAAGTCGCCATATGATTTTAAAAATGTGTGTGATTTGATATTTTAAATGCTCATATTACGTGCTGAAAATAAATATAATTAGGGTGTACACTTTCCTATTTCACTTTTTTAAAGTGTACTTTGCTTTTATGATGATTAAGGGCTTGATAAGTTACGTATTTCAATATATTTCAGTCAAGTATTGTATTTTTTGAAACTTTATCAGCGTCGGTGGAATACATGTCTTTTGACCTAAACTATACCAATTTACGCCCCTTTGCCTATTTACCAACCCGATTATTATCATACATATGCTTTTTTATCATCAGGTATATGAATCTAGAAAGTTTCATTAGCAGCAAAAACCGACAAAAATGCCAAGGCATTAATACCAGGACTCAAAATGAAAAATCAATGCAATTTATCTTTTGTATCGGACGGTGTCAACTTAACATCAATCATAAAACATTGTACGGGTTTTGATATTTACATACATCGCATTTGATTCAATCTGAATAGCTCAGTTAGTTTAACGTTCATGTTTGTTAAGTCATCTGATCGTTATTTTCGAAAATAAAACAGGAATAAAAAGAAGATTGTTTTTAAGAAAAAAGCAAATACGTGTATTTAAAATGATTATATTGACTATAACAGAGAACTCGTTGCCTCCAAAATTAGTGTGACTACTATATGACTTTCCTACCGAAAACCGTAAATAAGGACATATTCCATTAACAGCTTTTACATACATTTTCTATTCACGTCATAAAGAAACACAATTATTAAAGTTATTATAACAGGACTATAAATGATTATTACGTAACATAAATGTTTATGTGTTGAATTAATTTTTCAGGTTGTCGGTAATGCCATTTATACGACAGTATTATTCTTATTATAGTATTAAAGTAACTCATAATTATTTACAATTATTTACCGACTTTCTTGCGCATCTATATTTTGGATAAACAAAATGATTAGATTTGTAATTTGAAAATGAGAGTTTTTACTTATTTGAATATTCAATATGTTTGATCACCTAAAGTTTGTCCAACAAACAATACGTACAGAAAATCCAAAATTGAACCCCAAACTGCGAAGAATTGTCTCATTAATGTTTGTACTATCTGCCTTATCTATCTTCACTGGTACAAATTCCTTGTTAACTCGCCCGTTAATAACCCTTTAAAAAAAGAAAATAGGTAAATACAAAAAAAAAGAACTTTATTTAATAAATCAAGTTCGTAAGTGAAGTATTTCAAATGTTAGGCTACATAATGTCATGGGCAATTGAAATTACAGATGTGCTGTGGCGAACAAAATGGTGTGGTTGATAAATACAGTTAAACGAAGTCTACAACTAATTTCTCTTTTCCTCAATATAAATATATTGTATCATATTTGGCATCATGGGAACATTTTCTTCATATTTTATTTTTTAGACAAAATGTCATAACAATTACCAGCTCACTCTATAATAATATAGATTGCTTGCCCTTCCAAAATTACATTTAAAGTCAAGTTCCGGTTCTAAACTCAGCTCCGCGTGTCTGTACATCAGTGCCACGCTTACTTGAATGTTGCCAGGAATTGTGTAATTAGGTGCAGGTTCAACAACTGAAATTATGATTTCCAAACACATTCAGTACGAAAAAATCAATGTTAAGCAATCTTAATAAAAAATAATCAGTATCATTATTGAGGTTGCTTTCGATGGCTTAAACTATAACATTTGCAAATGCAAATTTAGTAAAAGAACAAATTTATGACTGTATAGTTTCCTCTATCTACCCTTCAACACGTTTCAAGTTAAATGAAAAATGAAAAGAATAACTCACGTGATATAGAAGATGGCTCTGTAATAAATAAATAATTGCTTTTAATATTAATAAGGCAGAAAAGTGGAGTAATTTGTTTACTGTTTTATGTTTTATGTAAAATACTGAACTATTAATTCATATGGATCATTGCCCGCTTCACCATTAAATTATAATTCTATTTTTTTAGATGAGTCCTAGAAAAAAGATATCGCATGCATTGGTTCTCTACACAGATCCAGGATCGCGATTGGAACATGGCAAGTGCTGTTTCCATACATAGTCCTGAAAATAACAACTTTTATTTATAGGACTAAGACTCTTGCGTCTTATTATTAGATTCATTTTAGAATATTTTCCTATGTTCGACAAAAAATTTTTTCTACAATTTGAGCATGAGATTATAAACTAACAGCTAATGTGCTAAACAGGTGGTGTTGGTGACGTCAGTAGCAAAACCGCTACAAACGAATCACCGGTACACAGTCCACGAATTATCAGGCATGCCTGATGCTTACATCGGGTCTTCTTATTGATTCTTATAAAAGAATTGAATATAAGAAATGTGTTTATTTTTATGGAAATATATATACGTGTTATTAATAGAACAGAACAGAACAGATCTCTTTATTTCTTTCCCAGGGTACAATGCAATACAACATGGGGAAATACTATAAACAGATACAATATGATAAATAAACAAACTTACGATAGTACTTTATCAGCTGATGAATAGTGTTTTAATTCAAAATAGTATGAAGATTCGGTAACATTTATAGATAAAGGTGTTAATTTTGGGGGAATCCTTCAATAAAGATTTAATATGCACATTATTCATCTGATGATATAGTTCTTATCTATATACGTATGTTAAAACAAGAAAATATAAGAAAAGAAAAAAGAAATGACCAATAGCGCACTAGAGTGTTTTCATTAACATTTTGTTGAGCTAGTTATCCTTTGAAAAAACATCAAAAAAACATTTAAATGTACAGTAATACATAAACACATATAAAATAATATCCTATACATAAGACAAAATTTTTCATATGATCAGCATGCTATATAGAGACTTTTTAGCCATAAATTATACAACATGTATTGTACTTTACAAAATTAAAGAGAGAGAAAAATAAAATGAAATGTGTTTTTTTAAGTAAGATTAATGATAGAGATAATTTAAATTCATATAAGTCAATATCAAGCCTTTATCAAGGAGCATAAATAATAATCTTGCATGTACGCCCCTGTAATCTTAAATCGTTAGCCTAAGTACATATACAATTCGCAATGTTAAATAGTTCGTAATAAAACACATTTAATTAACAGGATAATGTTAATAATAAGATGATATAATACTCATACACGGTAATTAATAGAATTATTTTCCCCGACTTTGTTTTATAAATTATAGCCTGTGCTCAAAAGAAGATAATACTTATCAATATATATTTTTTGTAATTTAACTGCGCATAATCATATTAAAGATCGAACGATGATATGTGAACATTATTAATAAAACATTTTTATTAACGTTATAATTTAATTCCCGTTGAATTCCCATATTATCAAGAGAACAAACGGAAGGTGACTGACTACCTCCCAAGTTTTCGGGGGGCAGATGAGATCGCGTTCCTTTTCGCTTTATTTCCAAAAACAAAGCCCGGTTAAAGTTACATAATGCAGACACCTAGAGCACTATCTAGGATATGGTATTTAGCAAGGATAACGCTTGTTGCATTTAGTATTTATTTCGACGGCATGAACGTCATTAATATTACTGATCACGTTCGCCGGGTCGCGTACCCCTTGTCATTTAAAGTTGTCACAGAATTTGTATCTGTTACACGATTGCATTGTTTTTACTGTAAATAGAGGACATGTTCCGATATTTGTTTCTTGTAAAATTGTGTACGTAGAATAAAAATGTGAACAGTAGAGCTGTAGTCCACCCTCATAAGTCTATGTGTGTGTCGTAGATATGAGTAACCGAAAATAAACAGTATTTTAACCCGAAAATTTGTAACGCAAAATTTCTTTCTAAATGTCAAATTAGACAATTACAGGTATTACCAAAGATAAGACGAGTATTTCTTTTTAATACACATACGACAATATAATTTCTTTACATATCTTTAATATAACTCGTTTCATGAAACTTAATAAACAAAAAATGTATTGTGAAATTCTTTAAAACGTTCCTACCGAAACAGTATGCGCTTGTCCCATCAGTTGGAATTAGATAATACTGAATTTCTCGTCCACATTTACGAACTTTGATATTATAACGATATTTACAACTGCTGTCAAAGTCAACTAGGCATGCGATGAGCGGCTCCTCTTTTCCTTCTTGCAGCTTTACAGGCATGTCTATAAGAACATAAATAAAACAGCACACTTTCATTATCCACTTAAAATGTCTTTTTCTAGCATAACATGTACTATAATTTATTTGCAGGCGCACTAAATTTTACTATAATTATTTAGTTGTCTTTAGTATTAAGAGGCAAATATTATTAATATTTAGAAATAGAAACCATATATGCATTGTTGATGTAGTTTCGATAGAGAGAAAAAAACAGCTGTTATCCCGGCGCAGCAGAGAAACGTAAGAAAAACATTTTTATTTCAGAAGACGTAGGAATGCAACACTGATATACTTTAGCCTTTGATATGCTAATGATGACAGTACCTATGACATATATCGGATTATCCGTTCCACAATATGCATACTTAGGTGCTGTTTCATTAACCAGTGTGTAGACTTGAGCATTGTCCGTAGCAATGTACCATCCTGCTGGCAATGTAGAATCTGATATCGCAGGCTCCGAAGACGATGTAATAACGTACGAAGGTCCTCTTCTCCCGATGTCTATGAGCTCACGTGCCTGTCCGTTACATGATGAAGCACGTGTATATTCCGATAAACCTTTTAATATGAAAAATCATTTTGCTAACAGTTGTAAACAGTGATATTTTTTTAAAATACCAACTAGAAGATCAACCCATAAATATGATTTTTGAACCTGGCTTATACATTCCATTTCTTTTTTGTCATATTTAGATTTAAGAGATGCATTATCTGTCCCTTAGACTGTTCAACATAAGTTTTACTTAGATTGGTATAATCATGTATGATATTGTCATGTAAGTTAGCTACCCAGCTAGCTATCGGGTGAAGGTGTTTTTTACCCAGGTGACATTTTTTTCCAAACTATTTTAAAAATTAAAATTGTAATTGTTAAATTATTCTGATTTCAGTCATGTGTTGTCTCGGTGACACTAATAACTAATTAATGATGAAATGACAATGTATATCTTGACAAAAAACAAGTTATGAAAAAGCAACGTTAATTTCTAAGTATTATTTCTAAATAAAAACATTCAATTGCACATATTTCGGCATTCTGAAAAACAGACATAAGCAAATGAACACAGACCAGTTTAATATCAACAGGCATTTATATTAATATTTTTCTTAAAAAGAATAATAAAGTAAATAAAAAAGAACACACAAAATAATTAATAAATAAATAAATAACAACTAAACAAACAAAATTAAAGGTTAAAAGTTCTACAGTGTGTTCATTATACTGATGAACATTCATTCAATTGATATTATGTAATTATACCGCATAAAACATGTAATAATATAATTATTACTAGTTAGTATACTTGTTCAAAATTATGCTTACCGACTAAAAGTAAAATAGTTGCCCTAAGCTGCATCATTTCCATGTGTCCTCGGCGCTGTTTTTTTTAAATTTTGAAATGAAACCTGTGCTCTTTGTAACACACCTTTCTTTTTATAACATTTCCATACTCTTGAAACAGAGATTTCAATTTGTTATTTATAATGATTCAGAGCAGAAATTACTCCTTTTAAAAAGACTTGTTGTACCAACGCTCGCATTTCTTTTTATATGTTTTAAATGGCATAAATCAATGTTGGGAGAACCCCATCTAAATACATTGCCAACGGTACTTCCTGATCTATGATCGTAAATAATTTTCAGATAGATTGAAAGAGATGTAGTCCTTAGTAGAAGAAATTTATAGACAATTATCTTTTAATCTATATATCTTGTTTAACATTGGTAATATTTCATGCAACGTAAGCTTGCGGGACTTTGTTCAAATAAATGAAAATTTGTTTTTCTTGAAGCAGATTATTTTGTGTGTTTATGTTGAAACTTTTCAGAAGCAGCCATAGTTTAATGAAACACAAATGAGCCGCGTCATGACGAAACCAACTTTGTGCGTTTGCGACCAGCATGGATCCAGACCAGCTTGCGCATCAGCGCAGACTTATCTGGATTCATGAATTGTTCGCTATCAGATTTTCTACTTGTAATAGGGTTTGTAAGCGAGCAGCATGGATCCTGACTGCAGACTGCACGGATGCACAGGCTGGTCTGAATTCAAGCTGGTCGTAAATGCACTATGTTGGTTTTGTCATGACAGGTCTTAAATTTAGATCGACTGAAACTTGTTCTTCTCAATCCGGCGTACAGGTCATCATCCTGCTTCTGGATTTCTGATTATTGTTTTCACATTTTTTCCGATTATCTGATTATCTGATTATCAGTTCTTTGTATCATAGTTTGGGGACCTTTCTGTTAAAAAATGTGTCAGAGTTAAATCGTATACATGCACAGTGCGTTAACTCAAGTGCACGTATTTGTTACCTGCACTCCAGAGCATATCTATTGATTGGCTCATTTTTGCTGAGGTTTACTTATTGTGACGGCAGAGAAGGGAAAAGCGATAGAAATATCATATTCAGATGCTCCTTCATTGGTTACTTTTTTCAGGGGTTTTATATTGTAACAACAGGGAACGAGTTTTTATGTTTGACTACGTGTATGATACAAAAGAGAAAGAACATCAAAACAATCGACAATCAGATTAATACTCGGGGCGGGGAGGGGGGCTACGCCGTATCGTCGGATAACCTCGTTTTTCGATGCTCTTTCTCTTAGATAATAACATACACTATTACTTACTGTAAAGTATTTAAGTTTTTTTTTAAATCATTACTTTTTTCTTCGTGTCGTCAACCATATGGCATAGTTCATAATTCCTGTCGCCATTACTTTATTAATTATCTTCCCTTTAAGTGTATTTTTTTGTAAAATGATTATATTTCATTTGAACATTTTATGTCTTACAACATTCATACGGTTTGTACCAGTTTGAAGGTTCTTTCAGGTTTTTTTTCGAATTATGATTTGATTAAAAACGAGGTGTCATATACACTAGACACTTAAGACATATCAACGGACTATCTCCATCAATAAATATTCAATAGGTTATATTTCAACTAATATCCATTATTCATTATATCCAATGGGGGTTTGATCAGGAAGTCTAGAACTTTAATATCCTTTTTATATCCTTTTTTAGCCAGATGCGATGATTTATTGTTAATCTCTCTGATGAGTTTGAATTATTCAGAACAGTGCAAACAAGGAATATTTGTTTTCCCTCTTTTAAATCACCCACGAGAGTCCTGACAACAGATAGACTGATTGATCTAATATTTATTATAAGGCAAAATGATATAAGCAGTATCTGAGTAATATACAGGTGATTGTTTTGATGATAATGATCGAAATGTGGTCTAACATTTGTCACATTATACCACATTGTATTAAGAGCAGCACAAATCCATAAATTTAAAATGATTGATAGCACACTTTCGAATTGATACATTTGGAAACACTCAGACATGTTAAATATTTAGTCCAAGAATGTAAATTATCATAGATCAAAGTGAAAGCTTGATTTATTTCTTTTGAATTTATAACAAAGCTATTTACAAACATAGTCGTTTAACGTCGTTACATCCAATGTAAATCTTTTATAATCGTTCAAAACAGAAATGAGATCGTGTTTTCGTGTTTTAGGGATATATGATACACTAGAGATGCTACTTCAATGATAGATGTAGATACTTTTATTTTCATCACATAGAGAACATACTAGCATACTTCCATAAGAAACAAATAAGAATGATATATATCACAGCATGATATAATGATGTATACATGCTTATAAACATTGTAAACAGAATATTACCCTTCTTTACAGACTATCCTAAAAGTAATTATTATTCAACTTAAAGAATATTTGAGCTGCTTCATGACAAAACCAACATAGTGCGTTTGCAACCAGCATGGATCGAGACCATCCGCGCAGTCTGATCAGGATCCATGCTGTTCGCTTACGAACCCTATTACAAGAAGAGAAACTGATAGCTGATGCGCAAGCTGGTCTGGATCTATGCTGGTCGCAAACGCACTTTGTTGGGTTTATCATAACGCGACTGATTTGATATAATTAGTTTTAGGTATTTTTACTAATGCATTATGAAGTTCACATATAAAAAACATTGACATTTGATCTTTTGTTGAATATAAATGATATTTTAGTCACTTGGATGACAAATAATAAATGAGCAATTATATTTTGGCAGGTGTGGAATCAATATAAATAATTACACACGCATAAATGCTATATGTGGCTGAAAATAGCCGCCAAATACAATTTAATTAACAAAAATAGGATAAGCTCTATCTTATCACAGGCTCATTAGTCAAGTAAGGCAAGACCTAAGCAAACTATAATCTAAGATGAAGTATTTATTTAAATCGTTGACTGTAGTAGTTTCTTTTTGCCCGTGTGCTTGTCCTGTTTGGTATCTTGCTGGGCTTCATACGGTATTCCTGTGTTATTGATCTTGTTTTTCATATTTAAGTCTAATTTAATACACTATGTATTTATATCAAAGCTTCTTAAAGATATGTACCATTCGCAATTTCTATCAAAGTGTAAAACAAAACGATAAAATTTGAGAAAGCTGCTTTATTCTAAAGAATAATTTAATATCCAGCGTAATAAATGCTTGACACATCAGTGACTAACTGATATTTTGGCTTTAGAAGCAATGATGAATGTTTATTACCCTTCCAGATTTTTTCCGCCTTTTTGATTGGATATTGATCACCCGAAAGAAATTGATATAACCGAGCCAGACGGGTAGTATACACACTAAATTTCCACGTTGGGTACCCAACGTTGTAAACAACAAGCGCTGAGGTGATGCGCATACGGTTCGATTTTTACGCGGTGTAAATTCCGATTTAAAAGCACTTTTTAAGTGTCAAATGATAAAATTTATATTTACCAAAGTAGAGTAAACATATTGTTTGGTTTTATTAACCTGTCAATTACATACTGATTACATGTTCAGTGCACAGTATATTTATCTTCGGTAGATGTTCGGTCAGTTCCGTGAGATGTACGCTGTACGATGGAATTTAATTTAATTTGTATCTCTAAAGTAAGTGTACTCAGCGTTACAGCGCAATAAGGTAAATCACGAGTTTATGATCTAATTAAGTTCCACGCATGTTTTAAGCTCGAGGCCGCGTTGGTCCATGTTTTTCTTACTAATACTTTCAACATTATCGAATCTATATATGATTATTTTATGTTGTTCGATTTTTTTATTATGTTCTACTTAATTTTGTAATGTAAATACTCTTTTTTAAATAAAATGTTTTTTAAAAATTCAATGTTTAAAATTAAAACGGATTTGAAAATCAATAAATGTCTTTTCAATGCCGTAAAACACACTACAAATCTGTTCCATTAAAATATACTGCAAAAATAAAGAAAGTGTACTAAAACAATGACAACAGTAAGGATCGAACCACAGACCTCTCAATTATCAGGCATTCTCTTTTTACCGACTGATCTATCAACGATAACATTCACATAAAGCTGGCGTGACTTTCAATCCATGACTAATATACTCCACATTAATTCTCGTAAACTACACGGACCAAACCGAAGTTGGATCGAATATTTAAATGTGTCCTATGATGTATTCATAATTGACAGGTCAATAAAATCAGACTATAAATATTAATATCAGTTTTGAAAACAAATATGACCTTGTGAAAGCTTGATATCAATTACAAAAAAGTGCGTTCAATAGACTACTCCTTTTCTCTTGTTTACATTCGTTAGGTACGGGAAAAATACGTCATGTATTTATGTGACGTCATGTTGTGACGAAGAGGTACATGTACTCTAAAGGGAATCTTATTTCCACGTTTCATTTGAAACAGCATTGATTTTTTAAAAGATCGTCTAAACTCGGCAGGGGAAGGGTAATAAAGGTATTATTTTGACAGCCACACTTCTTTAATAAAATGACAGCCACACTCATGTAATAAAATGACAGTTAATGAAGGATATTTACAAATATTTTTTGTGGTTAATGGGATTTATACATTACTCAGTCATTTTAAATAAATGATCACAGAATCATGACAAATGCAAACCTACCCAGGAAAAACATGATTCAGCACCCTTAGCATTACTAAATGTGAAATTTCTCAAATTGGCCAGATTATCTTTCAATATGGACTAAAGCATTTATCAATTTGAAAGAAACTTCACAATTTGTAGTGAGTGAAAAGTGAATAGTGCAGACCATGATAAGATCTTACAACACAGATGTGCCTCCACAATAGTTTCTACAATTCTATAAAGTGTTAAAATTGTATAAAATATGTAACCATGCAGCTAAACAGAAATTTAATCTATGTGTGCATGGAATATAGAAAATTAAGTAGCAATTATTTCATACAGTGTTTGATTTCTCTTAAACTCTTTTACAATGGTTGTTTTTTTTTGTTTTGTTTTTTATTTTTTTTTATTAACAAAATACAAATGTAATTATATTTAGAAATTCTAAAATATTAACTATATTGATATTCATTTCATTTTGTTAACAAGAATATGTGAAGCTGTAGATGATATGTTTTGAAATTGTTACATATTAATATAAACATTTACAAGATATCTTCCAGA